CCTACACGAGATGAGGCAGGATAAAGAGGGATAATCCCCCTCGATCCCAAATCATTGAGGCCAATTTCTAGCCATGGAATAATGGCGCGAGTTAACATTTGACAGAACTCGCAAAAATTCTTTTGGTTTGGATATCTGATCAATAATAAAATTGAAACCTATAATCTATGATAGTGCTCGTAGCTCAAGTTGTTTGATTATTTCTTATATACTATAGTTTCCTAATCTGAAATGCACATCCATGAAAGAACGTTAATGTATAGATGTTTATTAAATCAAAATGGGTTTACCTTGTTCACAAATATTATCCATTTCAACGCAAACGTATCGTCTAAAAGGAAGTTAATAAAGATCTATACAGTATAATATAGCATATGTACCATCTTATAAACGATTAAAGTTATTTGGATCCTCGATTACTATTTATTTATTATCAATTTTAAATATTACTTTGTATTTTTTGCAAAGTGAATCCATTACCAAATTTTTTTATTAACAACATACCTATCCAAACCTCTAAAAAAACGAAGTAATGACTTGGTACGATGGTACGAAACAGAAAATAAATAAACAAAGATAGAAGTATTAACAAGATCTAAACCAACCCACAAGTCCGGTTTGATGGTTAGGCAAACTGCCAAACCGGGTTAACTACATTTCTCGCCAAAACGTCAAACCGCAATAAACTATAGTTAGCCGGGTTACCGGTTTTCTCGCCAAAAAAATCCTTAAGGAGAACATTTAAAAAATGATAAGGATAAGAAACATATCAGTTTTATTTCCTAATGGTAATTAATCTTCCTGTAATCTGTGATGGTAATATTGATAATATTTGCTTAAACATTAAGTATATTAGGTGTTATATTTAAATGTGTACCTAATAAAATTAAAGTTTATGTACAGTTAATCAGTTAATACTAAGAAATGGTTTCCAATCAAATTGTTGTTATCGGTTCATGCATGGTGGATTTTGTTAGGTAAAAACATTTATACATATTTTGAACTACTGGTTTTATACAATGAAATTTGAAACTTTAAAAATACTTTTATGTATATATTTATTCCGATAACGTGCAGACATTACCTATTATTAATATCTGAAAAATTGAGTATGAATCAAGAATTTAGTATTTTTAAATATATGTATATTTTTTTAATTGTTTAATCCCTTATCGTTTTTTTTTTCACCCTGAAACTTGAAAATATAACAATTCTAAAATGTATTTTATACATAGGTAATAATAATTATTTTAGTTATGCACCAAGATTACCAAAAACTGGTGAGACCATTCATGGAAGAAAATTTGTAACAAACTTTGGTGGAAAAGGTGCAAACCAATGTGTAGCAGCTGCAAAATTAGGAGGAGAAACTGCACTTATAGCAAGGGTTGTTTTTTTTTACTTAAAATATAGGCCACAGAGGAAGAAGAGTAAACGTCTTTATGAATTACATTGTTCTATAATGACAAGTTGTATTAAGTAGGGCACTTGCAAGTTTGTTCACATATTAACATAAGTTGTATTTCCTAAGGCACTTGCAGGTTTTAGATTTTGTATACCTACTTGACTAATTATTGTTTTGTAATATCTTTAAATGAGATTTATGATTTTAGGTAGGGGATGATGTTTGGGCAAAAAAATATATTGACAGCTTATGCAAAGATGGTGTTAAGGTGGATTATGTCAAAGAAACAGAATCGTTTTCAACTGGTATAGCACAAATAATTGTATCTGATACAGGAGAAAATCAGATTGTTATTGTAGCAGGAGCAAATAATGAATTGAGTGTAGAAGATGTCGAGTGTGTAAAGGACGTAATTACTAATGCTGCTGTTGTAGTATTGCAGTTAGAAACATCAGAAGACGTAGCTATCAAGGCATGTCAGCTGTGTAGAGGAGTAGGTTTAATATCATTGTAATTTTAACTTTCTTTTGTTAATCTGATTCAATGATTTTTTTAAATTTTACGGTACTAATATTTCCAAATTAAGTGAAAGAATGTTACTAATATATATTATTTAAATGTCTAATTCTTTAGATATCAATATTAAATGGTGCACCTGCTCTCAGTAAATTTGATCTGCAACTGCTACAACTACCTACAATATTTTGTGTTAATGAATCGGAAGCAACAGTATTCACAGGCCTGCCAGTTAATAATGTTTGGTAAGTATTGACGTATTGCTTTTGTTGCTTGTCACATAGTGCGAGGTATAAAATTGGAAATGTAAATAAATGAATTGTAAAGTGTCAAAGTACCATTTTCTGAAAAACTCATTCCATCGAAAATATACATTTTTTTATTATTTAAATTTTACATTATCATTATTGTATGGGCCATAACAATACAGGAAACATAGCCTCAAAAAAGCTCGATACTAAAATGTTGCTTTGAAAGGTGTTAGCTAGCGACTTCTTGAATATAGTCGCAAACTGATGATGCAGGGTGTAACTTTGAATGTCAATTATATTTATACAGAGGCTTCCTTTGACCTGTAGAAACATATCAACAGTTTATTTTTTCAAATTCTGTCGTGAAATCTTGAAATTTTAACATTTTTTTTAGTAATTTTCATATTCTGCCGCTGGACAAGCTAGTGTAACTTCAAATTACGGCACACTTTAGTTGCAGCACATGTACAATTGGAACTGGGCTGTGCATTATTGCCAAATCTTATATTTAAAGGAAAGGTTAAAAATAAAATATCCACACCACTCGCCGTGAGGTACTGTTTTTTGGCACATTACTTCTGTTTAGTGAGTATTCACCGTCCATGAGCCCTATCATCTCACAAAAACGCATGTTTAATTTTTTTTTTTTTAATAAGATAAACTATGAAACAGCACTTAACAGCAGAAAACTTGAGCAGTAGTCAATAATGATATTATATGAAATACATAAAAATAAATGATCTGTTTACTCACCTGATGTTTATAACATAACACTTGAAATTTTGTGGCTAATCTTTTGAGTACAGGTACCAGGCTTCTATTCCATGGCATTAAAAATTTCTGGATCCTATTTTCTCATTTACTGAATTTGTTCTCATCCAACATTAGCTATTGGCATTCAGAGCTCCCACTACACAAAGACACTTTATGAACACCCTATTTCGAACCGATAAAGTCGAAGACTGAACAAAAATGTAACCAAACGAAAAAGTACAGTATTCCATCATTCCCGTTTTAGATCAGGTGCGAGGACAGTTGACCTATCCGTTTTCAAAGGAATACCGCAACAGAACAGCAGTTTTTTAAATATTTGACGCTTCATATTAACATCAATAGAATATGGGGACTAAAATAACAATGTAATATTAAATCAATCTGTTTTTACTAAATTATTTTTAATTAGTTTCGTTGTCTAACAGTTGATTAAAATATATACTCGTATTTACAATTAGTAACACGTCACTGCTCCAATAATAGTTAATATTTAATAATAAACCGTGTAATTTTTTAGACCTCTTTTTTAATGTTTAACGCTTCGATCACAGTAATATCAAAAAAATATGGTGTATGTAAATAACACGTCACTAAGTTATACAAGTACAATATATTCAGTTTTTGAAAAAGTATTTTTATCGTATCTATTTTATATAGAAATTTAACCTAAATATTATCGTAACAACAGTTACAATTTTGCTTATACAGTTGTAAAATAAACATATTAATCGTATGTAGAGTTGCTCCTGGATTATAGCAAACATGCTTTTTAAAGAACATCGTATTTTTATATACGATTATATTGAAGGTGTAACAATTATTACACCGTTTTATTGCAAGTGAACATAAAATATTAATACTTTTTTGAGAATTATGTGGTGTTTTCATCTTAACTTAACATACGATGTTATTACTTTTCTATTACTGCTGGTGGTGAGTGTATACAACTCTGTATCTTTAGATATGATATACTAGGTTTCTTGGATGTAGGGATAGTTACATCTCATCTCTACATAAGATGTAAGTTACTTAAAAAATAGCAGATAGCTCCATCGTATCTTACTAAAGTTAATTTAAAAAGAAAAATAATAGTAATTTTCACTATACGTTTATAAGAAATTGTTTCTGTACCTCATGTTTAGACTGTAACCAAATTTCATATGGTAACTTTGAAAAGATGTGTTGCAATTAAGAGAAAACCTCTAGAACTTTAATTGCGATTTTTTTTAAAAGTATTTATATTATAGGTAGGATCTTCATACTTGGCCAAAAAAATCTTTTTGAACCTACTTTGTGAGAAATCATCAATATCGAGTTACGATGTTCTTATTTGCGAACGTCGATATAATAATATCTCTACTCCTCATTCTAACCGCGAGAATTAGCCCAGAAGTCGAAGACTTGCGCGGGAGAGGAGGCGGCATATTAACCCGGGCAGAATTAGCACACATCGATTTAAGTATTGACGCCTTAAACCCTGCGGCTACCGACCGAATAAATCATGTAAAAATTTTGTTTTTAAGAATGTTAGAATGTTTTTTTTATGTTCAGCGCTTTGATCACAGTAACATCAACAAAAAACAAATACGGTGACTTTAAAATAACACGTCGCTGAGTTATATCAATGCAATCTGTTTTACCAAATTGTTTTTCATTGTAACTTCGCACAATATGGGATGATTTATAAACAACTGGTAATGCTGATAGTGCATTAATATGCAAATTTCAGGTGCCCCAATTTACTCCTCCCAGTGGCAGCATACACAAGATTTAAAGTGCATTTTAAAAATTTTATTCGACTATTAATTTGGTTAAGAAAAACGTGTTCAGGGGAACACGTACGTACCATTACCCCTAGAAAACTGACCCCCACTTAAAGTTACACCCTGTATATAGCATCCTCAAAACCTTAGTTGTACCAAATTTCATAAAAATTGTTTTCGGTGCCTGAATTTATGCCATTCAATACACCTTGAGTATATATTTTTCTCATTACTAAAAATTTGAGTTGTTACTTTTATGTTTTAGAACTTTTACTTATAAGTAACTGATTACAAAGTGAAATATTTTTCAGTGAAGCTGAAGCTGCGGCTACTAAACTTCTGTTTTTGGGTTGTAAAAGTGTCATTATCACACTGGGACCATTAGGTGCTATTTATGTCAATAATGAAGACAAACAATTTATTCATATTGGAAGTCCATTGGTGAAGAGTGTAGATTCCACAGGAGCAGGTGATGCCTTCATTGGAGCGCTTGCTTACCTTTTAGCAAACGAAAAGGAACACGGAATCCAGAAGTCTATTCAACTTGCATGTATTGTTGCGGCGGATACTGTAACTCGTCCTGGAACACAGACAAGTTTTCCCGGTCCAGAGATACTGAAATGTAGAAAACAGGATAACTAGAAATACAGAGCAAAGGTGCTCCATTAAATAAATATCAATTGTCTGTGTTCACGTTTATACTTGTAAATTTATATTCAGTGGCAATTATACTTACCATTATTTATCATACATTTTTTATTGTTTGATCGTTATTTTTTACTTATTCTGTTATTTGTTTTTTTATTGTCCAAAAATAAAGTAGTATGTGCTTTTATCGTTTTATTTTTTGTGCAATAAGAACTAATACCTACATTTTTACATAGTAACACAATATCTTGATTTTAAAAAAAGTTAAACATTAAATAAAATTATTTATTACATTTAGGTACCGTATAAAATAATTTAGAAAATGTTGGGGAAAAAAAATTCCTTTTTTTTCTGAAAAATGGTCAAATTCATTTGACATAGTTTTAGTTGAAGATTAATTACATAATTTATTCGGATTTTTAGAATCACAAATTTGCTTTGTGTTCTGTTAAACTAACAAAAATAGAACGGAAAACTGGGTGATAAAGCTTAGTAAGGCCTAATATACAGGGTGTTTCTTAATAACGTGCTAATATTTAAGGTTATTCTTGGGTCCATTTTAAGAAAAAAACTTCATATGAACATATGTCCTAAAAGTCTTAACTTTTGAACTACAGGGTGCTGAAGTTTTATGAAAAAACTTTTTTATGATAACTGGTATTACCCTAGATATTTTTTCAAATTTGGTACACACCTTCTATTCATCGAGATGTACAAACAATTTTATTATTTTTGCCAGTGGCGTCTGTACAGGTTTTGTATTGAATATTTTTGAAGAAAAATATGTTACGCCAGGGTAATTTTCTTTTGCCATTCCAAAATGTATCTATGTAGATTACTGTAATTTCATAATTTCAGTGTTTAAAAGTTATTATCTTAAATAAATTATTGTTCAAAGTTACACAATTTTTTTTCTCGTAAGTGGTCCAATAAGATGCAAATGAATGAATTTTATTTTTTTATGCAAAAACCGTACATCAAACGAAAAAATTGAAGACACCACATTTGCTCAGAAAGGAATGAGGATTTCAAAAATGATTTTTACTAAAAGAAAAAGTAGTGGCGTAACTTATTTTTCTTCAAAAATATGCGATACAAAACCTGTACAGATGCCACTGACTAAAATAATAAAATTGTTTGTACATCATAAAATGCATCTCGATGAATAGAAGGCGTGTACCAAATTTGAAAAAATATCTAGGGTAGGTAATACCAGTTATAAAAAAAATGTTTTTTTCAAAAAACTTTAGCACCCTGTAGTTCAAAAGTTAAGACTTTTAGGACATATGTTCATATGCAGTTTTTTTCTTAAAATGGACCCAAGAATAACTTCCTCAAATATGAGCACGTTATTAAGAAACACCCTGTATATTTGGTATTGATTTAGATTTTATTTTAAAAACTAGAATTTCAAAAAAAAATGGTAACGCTGGCTGGCCCTTGCGTACAAGTTTTAGCGTTTGTAGGCCGTCAGGATCTGAGTAATTACGCATTTATATTTATCATTATTGTCTATCACATTTATTACCCTATTATAATAATTTACGCACGGAATTGCCTTTTTTTTAAGCAAAGGCGCTAAAAGGAGCGACCTTAGGCAATGTCAAGAATTAGACGGATTATATTGTTCTTTATATTATACAGGACTGTCTCGACAATTGTATCACAGCAATTTGATTGGTGCCGCCACTTTTAAAGATGAGTATTCTTTAGGTATATGGCCTGGATATTTATTTATGCTGTGACCTGGAAATGCTGGATTCACATCACATATTCACATGCATGCGTGATCGCGAATTCGTTGTAAAACCACGTGACCGCGCGCGCCATTATTCCATGGCTAGAAATTGGTATATGATGGTGTTGGGGGGATGTGGGATGTCGGAGTTGTAAATGGTGTATAGGTGTGGGGACAGGACGGTGCCCTGGGGGACACCGGCCTCCATGGGACGGGTGGTGGAAAGAGAATCTTGGATTTGGATGCGGAATTTTCGGTGGTGTAGGTAGGATTTTATGAGTTTGGTAAAGGATATGGGATATTGGTTGGTGAGCATTTTCATCAGTAGGCCTTCATGCCAAACCGTATCGAAGGCCTTTGCGACGTCCAGGAAGACAGCACCAGTGTACTGTCCCCTGTTGAAGGCCGCCGTGATGTGCTCGGTAAGGCGAAGGATTTGGAGTTCAGTGGAGTGATTGGGTCGGAAGGCGAACTGCTCGTCTGGAATGACTTGCAGTTCTTGGGAGTGGGTTCTTAGACGGGTTAGGATAATTTTTTCTACCACTTTGCTCATAGCCGGGAGCAGGCTAATGGGCCGGTAGTTGGATGGGATGGTGTGATCTTTGTTGGGTTTTGGGATAAGGATTATGTTTGCTGTTTTCCAGCGGGTAGGGAAGTGTCTTAGTCTGAGTGTCGCGTTTGTTATGTTTATTGTTATGTTTAGTAGGGCCATGAGGCCCTTGTGTGGTGTCGTGTTATGTATATTGTCGGGTCCGGGGGCTTTTCTGTTTTTAAGTCTGCGTATTGTCAGTCTTAGTTCGTCAGGAGTTGCGGGGGGATTATGTCATTGTCTAGCTCTCTGTGGACGCGTCGGGCCGCGCGCTCAGCCACTATCTCGAATTCCTCGTCTTCGTCGGGCAACTGAGGCAGTCTACACTGCAATTCCAGACTGTCAGCGAAAGCCTCGGCCTTTTCCTGGTTTGTGTAAACCACCCCCCTGCTACCGTGGATTGGAGGAATTTTACCACGAGCGGTCTGTCGCAGGGCCCTCTGCGTTTTCCAGAGGCTGTTGTCTTGTGGATCCAGCGACTCCATGTGTCCTGGGCCAATTCACCCAGAGCCGCCTTCATCCGTCTGTTAAGTACGTTTAAGTCATGTCTATGTCGGGGGAGGCGGGTACGGGTGGCAAGCCGTTTCGCACGTCGTCTGTCACTTATTAAGTTTTTTTATGTCATCGGGGAGGGTACCCCGTGGGTGTTCTTGTACCATCCTTTCGAATGTGTTTGGGATTTGTAGTTAAAAATAATTTGTCTAATAATTTCCTCGTCTTTTGATCATGTTTTTGTGCAGATGGAGGCATATATTTGAAAATTGTCCAAATTTGCAATTAACCATGTCCTATGTGTCAAATTTTTGAAACCACTTCGTGTAGTTTTAATGATTGGGTTTTATTCAATGCGACCAAGTACTACTGGACTGGACGTGTCTTAACATGGAGACTGTATTATATGTTTTGTGATGGAGACTACCCAGCACCTAGCGATGCGTTACCCAGCACAAGCAAAAGCAGAGAGTTGTCAAATTGGGAGAGTGAACAGAACAGCCCTCGAATAGAATATACTGTAGATCACAAGTGAAGTGATCAAGTGATCACAAACACAACACAAGCACAAGAGTAATGTCCTTCGAACTGTCAACATGACAATAGTAAACAAGTTTCTAAATAAACTCTAGATATTTCAACAAAAAATATCTTAATCCAATCGATTATTCTTTTGGTGCCCTTTTGGTACATAATTAAGTGTATTTATTTAGTTAATCCGTGCATTAAATGTAGTCTATTAAGCGGACACTCATTTTAATTTGCATAAATATAAAAGTAGTGTAGTGATAGTGAGATAGTAAATATGCTAACCCCTGGAGTAAGAATTGTAAGGGGCCCAGATTGGTCTTGGGAGAATCAAGGTGAGTTTATTTTTGTTTAGAGACTTCATTATTAAAATGTATTTTTTCTTCTAGATGGTGGCGAAGGTCATGTGGGAACTGTGTGTGAAATTGGAAAGTCGGGAACTGTAGGATCTCCGGACAAAACTGTGGTGGTACAGTGGGATAATGGAACTAGAACCAATTACAGGGTTGGTTATTTAGGCAAATACGATCTACGAGTTATAGACAATGCACAAATTGGTATGTTGTATAGTTATTATAGTTATTTAGAATTATTGTTAATTCTATGTTTTTCTGTATGCAACTGCATACATTTTCATTTATAGGCCTTTTTTCTGCAGTTGTTTTTTATCCTTTTATACAAATCGTAAGAACGTTACATATTGATAACTAAATTTCTGACTTATTCACACCATTCTGCAATATTTTATAATATACTCCAATATGTAAGATGAATCATTGATTTAAACCGAAACAATATGTTTGCGGATCGAATTCAGTATGATGAGGTGTCCTGTAGAAGTATTTAGCTCATTACTAAAATTGTTCTTTATTAAAATAGTTTCTCAAGTAAAAATATTATGTTCATATATCGAATATGTCTATCTTCTTATCAGATTTTCTGCAATAAAAATAAATTATATGTTTCAAACTGCCATGCTTATCAGATAGTAAAAGAATGTGCTTTGTAACTAGGATTGTTTGAAAATTTATATAAATGTTTATGGATTATTGCTATTGTCATCAGAAATTGTTAGCAGACCTTCAGTTATTTATTATTGACATTTATTATATAATCATCAATTCATATTTCTAAACCTTGCAAAATTATTATTGTTATATTTAACATTGTAGGTGTTAAACATCCAAATATTGTTTGTGATGGATGTGATAGTCAAGGAATAAGTGGAATGAGATATAAATGCACTATTTGTTATGATTACGATTTATGTTATATGTGCTATCATGGCGATAAACATGATTTGAGCCATAATTTTAAAAGATTCGATTCTGCCACTTCATTAGGGTGAGTAAAATTTATAAAACACATTTTTTACTGTGGGAGTTTTATTTTTTTTTTCTTACTATGGAATATTTTTATAATCATTCTTTTGTTAGTTCTGTTGTTACCTCATTATTAAATAAATATGAAACATTACAAGAAATTTTTTTAATCTGAAGAAAATATAATTTTTGATGTTACAAATTAATGTTAGTTTATTTTAACATGCTTTTTAATGGATATCGTAATATACGGGTAAGATTGTTATTAATATAAGATGTGGGAAAGAGCGCAATATAAATATTGCCAAAATGAACCAAGCTAGGGTTTTGCAATCTTATGCTTTTCCAAACTTTTAAGCACATAAAATCATCTATCGCACTATTAGGTAAATCGTTAATAGACATCTGTTGAACTTTTTTTTCACTTTAGCGTACTTTACAATTAATTAATTAATTAGTTCATTTGTCAAAAAAGAACATACAAAATAAACATGTGTTCATAGAGTTTAAAGAAAAAAATATGTACAAGGTACTTTATCATTAAAAATAGATATTAAGCTAATTCAGAATCAAAAAAATTTTAAAGATTAAAACATGCCAGAGCTAATAATGAAATATATGTTTTATAAAAGCAAAGTGATCACTGGTAATCGAATTTTTCTACACTACACGTGGAACTTACGATAAAATATATAAAGTACATATAATATTTGTGGAGATAGAATTCCAAGAAAAGCGGGAGGGGCGTACCTTGAAATTTTCCGCTTTATTCAGAATATTAAATACAAACAGCATATTCTTCGACTTTTGTATTATTTTTTTAGAAGTGACCTTCCACCACGTTTGAATGGTAAAAAATGTGAACTGAACGGAATTTATGTAGGAGCAAAAGTTGTCCGTGGTTTTAATTGGGAGTGGGGTAATCAAGATGGAGGAGAAGGTAATTATTAACAAAATTATACATTTCGATATCAAACAGATTTCATATATTCTGTCATTTTAGGTAAAGTTGGTCGAGTTTTAGACATCAGAGGTTGGGATAATGAAAGCAGTAGGTCTGTTGCAAATGTGCAATGGTTTTCGGGCAATACAAATGTATATAGACTAGGTCATAAAGGAAATTGTGATATAAAATTCATAGAGTCATCATCTGGTGGTTACTATTATCCAGAGCATCTTCCAGTATTAGGTAAGTGAAACTTTAATGCAGTTTAAATTCAATTATAACGTTTTTACTATATTTCCAGGCCAAAACGTAGAACAAACAGTAGTTCGTCCAAATAGATCCGGCCCACCTCCTTTTGGAGTTGGTGATAAAGTTCAAGTTACTGTGTCAGTAGAACAGCTCAAAGCCATGCAACAGGGGCATGGAGGATGGAATCCGAGAATGGCAGAGGTATTAAAAGTTTAGTTATATTTAAAATTATGGAATATGTTTTTGGAAGTTTTTTATTGATTCAGGAAATTCTTTTCTTATATCTAATGTACTGTTTTAGTACATTGGAAAAGTAGGCACCGTTCATCGAGTAACGGACAAAGGTGATATCAGAGTCCAATATGAAGGATGTAACAATCGCTGGACTTTTAACCCCGTAGCTCTTCACAAAGTAAACAGTTTTGCTGTTGGGGATATAGTAAGCTTAATAACAGATGTTGAAAAAGTTAAGGAGCTGCAGAAAGGACATGGCGAGTGGATAGAAATAATGAGAAATGTAAATAGTTTCGACATCAATTTTTTTCAATAATTCACATTTTCTTTTTTCAGTCATTGGGAAAATTGGGGAAAGTATTAAAAATTTATTCAGATGGAGATTTGAGAGTTCAACTAGATGGTCACGCATGGACGTTGCATCCACAATGTGTCAAAATTATCCCTGGTAGTGCAGCCGAATTAGCCAACACTATGCACGCAACACAAAATCAAAGACAAGAACCGTCAAGTGAGTAAAACTTTTCAGTATTTCAAATTATGTAGAAATTATTGTGTCCCCCAAGCAGAGACAAAAGGTGGTAATAAAATTTCTCTGGTTAGATTTTGATAAAAAATGTGATATTTTCATTGATTTAAGAGATACATACAGCGTGTTTTTCATTTTGTGATTGGTGATATTCTGCCGTCTCAATGGGTGTTTGTTTATTTATTAGAGAAAATCGAAGTAAATTTATTCCGCGGAGATCTAAACACAGTACTTTAATTCCTAAAATTAGACGATAGACATTTTGAATTCATGGAGTGTAAATTAATGTCTCAACCTATTATACCCGACCAATACCATATTTTTAATTATTTATGTCCTCAAACAATTTTATTATATTGATGGTAAATTTTGATTATGACATATCAAAAAACATTTACATTTTCATTAAAATATATTACTACTCGGCAATATCCAACGGGAAGGTATAAACATATCCTTGCTAAGAAAATATGAGGAAAGGTTGTTAGTTTAGGTTAGAAAAGTTATTAAATAAAAATAATCAACAATAAAATAATTCCGCATTGCTGCACTGCACTGCTAGGCAATTTGTCAACAACTGAAATTTGTGGCCCAGTCGCCCAGTGCGGCTGTGTTAGTTCTGCGTTTGCCTGCGCGCATTCTTCAAGTGGTAGTATACATTTCTTTCTACCACCTCTACGTTTAGTTCGACTAGACCTGTATGTGGGTATGACTAAATAAATATGGAAACAATCTTTTCAAATATTTCAATACCTAGTTCCTGCGTATCGACCTAACCTGGCCTAGCTCTAGCTCTTTGGTCTTCAACTGAGATCGGAAAGACTATACTATGCATTTTTTTCATATTGATATATCCATGACATCTCCCAAAAGTGTTAAAATTAGTCTACATTTTATAATATCATGAGAAATTATAATTTAAAGGATTTTTACTCTGTTTAAATGTGTGATAATAAGAATGATTTCCTGTCTTTATTATAGAACTACATACTTAGATTTACTTTTTATATATAAATGTTAAAATGCAGTTCAATGGTCTCCTGCCAATCAAGACGTACAAACTAATGGAGTGGTAGATCAGTTAGTAAGAGCGGCGGCTCAGGGTCATTTAGAAACAGTACAAAGACTGCTAGAGGGCATACCTCGCAACATGGTGGACATGCGCAGCAGCGGCAAAACAGCGTTGCAAGTGGCAGCACATCAGGGCCACTCTGCAGTGGTCAAGTTATTGCTCCATGCAGGGGCGTCTGTAAATGCAAGCGATAATGATGGTGACACCTGTCTGCATTATGCCGCATTTGGCAATCAGCCTGAGGTAAGCACCAAAGGAAATTTGTAGAGAATTGAAGTAATTCAAAATATAATTTATTTTTTTGGTGTAGGTATTGGACTTGCTGATAAAATCAGGCGTGGAGTTAAATGTCGCTAATAGAAGCGGTTGTACTGCCCTTCATATAGCAGCACATAAACAGCCCGCTCGTTGTATTCAAATATTATTGGCTGCTGGTGCGAATCCAAACTGCACAGATTTGTACGGTGATACGGCGCTGCATGATGCTATTGGAAAAGACAGCTATCAAGTTATCGAGTTATTATGCATGGCCCAAGGTAGGAATGTAATTTTATGAAGCATGTGCCATTACAGGTTGCGCACTTTCACATTTCATCATTTTGCAAATACATTCATTTGTTTACATATAAAATTTAAATTTTTGCCAATATAAATCACGTTTGTAAAACAAATTTAACATTTTGCCAAACAAATTCACTTTTTTTCTTACACAACATAATTTTTTTCTCAAAATTTAAGTACGTATTTGTTGCAAGAAATATTGTTCCAATATTTTAACGGGTTACATTTCGTAAATTTACTAATACATTTTGGAATGAAATCTGAAAATATTAATTTTTTTTTCCAGAATAAGTATTTAATAAGTACGGTAAAATTTATTTCTTGGCATCTACTCGTCAGTTTATATCGTTTATATTTTATTTTCAGTTTTTGTTTTTATTTAGCATTTGAAGTATCCTATTTTAATAGCATTTTTTTTAGTTTTAATTATGATTTGATTACAGTTTAACATTTGTGTGCAAAGCCAACATGATTACTAAGAAATGCAAAAATAATTTGACAATTTTAAATGTATGAAAATACTATTCTATAGTGATATCCCTGAAATGCGTAGGCACAGAATATCCCAACTACTGTAGTTAGGATATTCTGTGGCGTAGATTTATTAGTGAAAGGCGCAAATTATTTTGAGAAGCAGCCTTCTACGTCTAGTGGTGTAATAAATTTAATTAAACTATACTAACAAAAAGCCACTGGCTGCAGGTGCCATGAAAATGAGTTGTATTATTTACACATCAAAGTATTAAACTAGAGATGGGAAAATTCCCAAACTATGAAAATTCCTGGAAAGTTTCCATTGAAAATTCCAGAAATTTTCCGAAATTTTCCGAACTTTTTTTTTGGATTTGGTATTGCGTTCTACATACCATCAGCTTTCCAAAAAGACCAAATACTTATACATTTTTGTTTAAGTTGGTATAAATCTTTGAAAAATATAAATTATTAATCGTCGGTTAATAAAAATTACATGTTGCGGGTTGCAGTGTGCAAACACTATACAGTAGACAAAACTCTATTTATCTTTATTTTTTAACAAATAAATAGTAAATACATTAAATAATTATGCTAGTTTTAAAATGTAATTATACTTTGGTTCAACTATCAAAATTTATTTTAAATTTGAAAAGGGAGAGGCAATTTATGTCTTGTATTGCTCTCTGTATGTAGATTGTAAACTTAACAAAGATTAAAATAAGTAAGTGTAAGTATTTTCTGACTAATTTGGGTAATATGGTCTTCTGGTATTCTGAATTAACCAAATATCCGAAATTAACTAATGATTTTTTGAGGTTGTATTCACAGAAGTTAGAAGTAAAATTGACTCCAAGCATACAAATTGTTAGAAATATTCCCGGAAAATTTCTAATGGAAATTTTTCTAGAAACTTTCCAGGGAAAATTTCTCAGGCTTCGATTATTTCTTCCCGGAAAATTTCCGTTTTGGAAACTTTCCGGGACGGAAAATTTCCCATTGCCCATCTCTATATTAAACTATTGATTTTATAATTTAGTAACTCTAGACATGATACTAGATGTAACAACACAGAAATGATTGTCAAAAATTTACAAATGAACAAATTTAACTTGCAACAGAATAAATTTGATTTCCACTTGGTGAATTTGCTTAGCACGAGAGTCGAATTTGGAGTGCAAAATGTGTACTTGAGTGTATTTTTGTTTAATTAAATTTTACTTCTAATTACAGTGGATACTGTAACTACATGGGTATTATAATAATTTCTTTTACATGTAATTTTTAGGAACCGATTTCACCCTGCGTAATAAACGCGGCTTCAATGTGTTGCACCATGCTGCACTGAAAGGAAAAAACTTTGCCACAAGGAAGTTGCTGAGTGTGGCAAGACAATTAGTTGATGTCAAGAAAGATGATGGGTTTTCTGCATTACACCTTGCTTCCTTAAATGGTCACAAAGATGTAGTTGAAACCTTGGTCAGATTGGGTCAAGCCGACATTGACCTACGGAACAATAGAAATCAGACTGCTCTTTTACTGGCTGTGAGCCAAGGTAAGGATATCAGTAATTCTTATAGTTTTTTTTATAACTGAATGAAGATCAACACAAAATTCCATGATAATTTATTAAATTGTTTCTGCACTTTAAATATTTCTTTTCAAGCAAACTTCTTATGATTAGTATGTATCTGATAGTTAATAAATACTAATTATATATAATACAGCCCATTAAGAACCAAGACACCTCTCTAAAACTAGCATTTTAACTGCAATGGTAAATAAAGTAATAGTTTTTATAGTTATTTAATCATATACAACTTATTTTTAATTTTCAGTTTCATTTGTATTCCTGGGACAAAACTTCTTATTGCATCACTTGATATTTTAAACTTTCTTGCTACTGTGTCTTCTGTATAAGCTTCAGCCACTGAAGATGACTTCCTTTCTTATATGCTTAACTTCTATCAGGTCATCATCCAAATTGACGAGTATTGTGGCTGCAGAGCGGTGGAAACATCTAAATTTGGTAACTTCAAAAAATCTTCAATTTTCTAAGGAATATTGTACAAGCTATTTATTCCTACACAAATACACATATTTTCTACCAATATCCAAAACATTCCCTTTACATTTTTTGTCGGTAATGCAAAATGACTGATCTTGCTTAGTTTTGTTGTCAATAAGTAATATGACCGATTATTGCAACAACTTGTAATATAGAATCTAAATTACTAAAATTATTAAAGAAAATATTTGTATAAATTTCACTTTCATAGACATACAGGGTGTCCCGAAATTCATGCAACAAAATTTGGTCACAGATTCTTAAGACAAATTTAGGGGATCTGTATTTTTTATTTTTGCCAAGTGTCCCCCTCTTTTGATGTTACAGCCCCGTGAAGTCCGCCCCTAAGAATAATCTTTTTTTTATATCTCAAAACCCTGTTGTACGAGAATCACTAAATTTGTACACAGGGGTTTTATGACATGTGAAATCTGATGGTGCTACGTTTTTTGGCGGGAAACCCCCATAAGACAATTTTTCGTGGGCCCCCTTGTCTTTGGAGCCAAAAAAATTTGGTCGCATATTTAAATTTCTTAAAAATTATCAGTCCACTAAAAAGCCATTAAATTTAGAAACTTTTTGTCTCTTTATACTTTTTTTGTCAAAATGTGATCAAATTCATATCGTGATTCGCCATTTTCCTCAAAAACATTGCATTTTACGAAACAAATATCAAGGGACAAAAAAGTTTCTAAATTCAATGGCTTTCTAGCTAACTAATAATTTAAAAAAAAATCTAATTTGCGACCAAATTTTTCTGGTTCCAAAGACAAGGGGCCCATGAAAAACTGTTTTCTCACCAAAAAGTGTAGCACTGCGAGATTCCACATGTAATAAAACCCCTGTGTACCAAATTTAGTGATTCTTGTTCAACATGGTTGTGAGACAGAGGGGGCCAGTTGGCAAAAAGAAAAAATATGAGTCCCTAAATTTGTCTTAAAAATCTATGACCAAATTTTGTTGCATGAATTTCGAGACACTCTGTATAGTCATCGTCTGAAGCATGTATTAAAAATCTCATATCATCCGGTTGGTTTCAAGACTCAATTTTTTGAGTTAGTAACCATCAGTTAAATTCTTTAGCAATGTAATCAGTTTGCTGTGTCTGAAAGCATTACAAAACATTATTTGATGGTGTGTACGTATTACTTACTTTCAAATGTCACAATTTTCATTTACCAGCCAAGTTGACTTGGTAGAATAATCCGACCATAATATTGACTCCAGTAGTTTTTTCGCAGTTTCTAATGCATCTTGTTTCAAGTCTGAGGAAAGTTTTTATTTTTAAAATTCACTATCGCACATTTCTACTTTCACTTTGTGCAGAACAAACAAGGCAACATAAAACGGAATTGGCAAAAAATGATAAAGCAGTAGTTACGAGGCATATCCACAAAGGTAGAGAACTGTTTTTAAAAAATTGATATGCACTTTGTGAGACAAGGAATGAGTTTTCTGATACCATCGTCAAAAAAATCTCCCGCTGCCTCTTGGGCTCATTGCTCTACAGCACTGTAGACCTTGTCATTGGTAGAAAACCTTTTTCCACCCATAAACATCATAGAAGAGAAAAGATGAAAATCAGAAGGTGCAGGGTCAAAGCTGTGAGCAGGGTGGTTGATGATGTTCCAACCGAATGAATTCAAGAGTTTTGTGGCGTTGGTTGTGTGAGAATGTGCATTGACACAGGGTTCGTAGCAGCCGGGAAAACCGGGAATACCGGGAAAAGTCAGGGAATTTGTTATTCTTCATAAAAAACAGGGAATAGTCAGGGAATTTTAAAAATATTCATGAAAGTCAGGGAATTTGATGTTTGCAACTGGAAATTTTGTAAAAGCTGGCCCTGGGTTCTTGAAAGAGAAAACTATTTGTGATTTTGAAACCTTTATAAGAGGTTTTTAGGGTATAAAAAAGATTATGGAGGGCAGTCGAGAAAAAATTTAATGCATAACACCAATTAGTATGTAAAATTTGCAAAAATGAACTACAAGTGACCTGGATTTTTTTTTATAAGTCAGGGAAAACCTGGAAAAGTCAGGGAATTCTTTATTACTTTTAAACTATGAACCCTGTGTCATGCAACAAGCACACTCCCTTTGTTAACATTCCCCATCTTTTGTTCTATATCGTCTTCGGTAATATTCTCAAGGTTTCATAGTACCATGCAGCATTAATTGTTTTTCCCTGGGGAAAAAAGTCAATGAGGAGAATCCCTTTATGGTCCCAAAACACTGTTGCTATGATTTTTTGGGCCGAAACAACAGTTTTGAATTTTTTCGCTGATGGTGAAGATGGATGTCGCCACTGCATTGATTGTCTTGGGCCACCCAAGTTTTGCCGCCAGTCATAATATAGTTAATGTTTATATGATTAAAATTAGTCAAAGATTAGCTCTTTAAAGTTTGTACAAGTACTTAATAAACACCCTGTATAATTTTTTATATTTACTTTAAATAATATGACTAACTATACTATTTTATGTAAACCTAACTTTTATATGTAAATTAAAGAAAATGTTTTAATGATTTTCAATATTAATGTAAAATTTTATAGGTCATTGTGGAGTCATAGAGTTGTTAGTAAAATTAAAAGCCAACTTAAATGCCAAAGATGAAGATGAAGACACAGCTTTACATATTGTACTAATAAAAAGAAATCATTTAAATGGTGAAGTGAATCAAGACGATAGTCCAGACATTTTTTCTATATACGAGAACATTAATCACGTCTCAGAGAACAGATTAGCAATAGCGATTGCTTGCTATCTTATTCAAATGGGAATCGACTTAGACGCTTTAAACAGCAAAGGACAATCCGCTTTAAATTTAATTCAAGATTCCAGCTTACAAGAATTATTAAAAAGCTACAAACCAACCATGGACAATAATCAAATTCAAAATACTCAAGAAACGTACAATTTGGAGAGCCTTACCTTAAACGAAGCCCGAGAGGGTTATAACTTGACGGACAATACTCCAAAGAGTAGTCCCGCTAGAAACTTGCAGAGTGAAGATCAGAAAAACTCCAGGAGAAGTCGCCAAAAGAACGAGAAATGTTTGGACATAGGCAGCACGTCACAAGAAAATTCTCCGAACCATAAAAACCATTATTATCAAAACGAGATAGTGGCCAGTAAGCCGGTAGAATGTTTAGTTTGCTCGGAACTATCCGAGGAAAATGTAAAACTTGAACCCTGCAACCACAAACCTGCATGTGAGGATTGTTCTTCTAGGATGAAGAAGTGCTTACAGTGCGGTGTTCTTGTTCAGAAACGAGTTACGAAAGACGGCAGGATAATTCCTGCGAAAAGTAGGCAGCCTAGTGCTGAACGAATGAGATATTTGGAATGTAAAATAGCAGAGATAGAAGAGAGCCATGCTTGTAGCATATGCATGGAGAGGAAACGCAATGTCGTATTTCTGTGTGGGCACGGTACTTGCTCTAAGTGTGCCGATACTTTGAAGACTTGTCATATGTGTAGGAAGACAATTACAAAAAAAATTCCTATTTATTAGTATTTATTTTTCATCATGTAGTGATTAGACATCTTATATGCTAATTTTAAGTTGTAAGATAACTGTGATTCATGTATATTGATTTTAAGTAATAATCAAATGTCATTCCTAACATGAAATTATTGAATTCTTATATATTTGACTGAAATAAAATTGTATTATTAGAAATGTGTGTTTTATTATAAATTAACAGAAGTCATTAACACGTCCATAAGAGGGCTCTATAGCAAATAGGCAATCAGCAATACATTTTTATAGATTTTATTAGTTACACAGTTTGTCTAAATATGAATTAATACACAAATAACACACTTTCCCTCATTTTAAAGCAGATTTTCTATAAAATGGTCATAGTTTGAATCTCAAATTACTTTTTGTTGTAAAGAAATTTGTAATTTGCCGCTTTTGAACAAACGGCATCATAAATTACAAATTTCTTTACACCAAAAAGTTATTTGAGTTTCAAACTAAGTTCGTTTTATAGAAAATCTGCGTTAAAATGGGGGAACGTCTCTTATTTGTGCATTTGGTTCATATTTAGACAAATTCTGTAATAAAATCTATAAAAATGTATTGCCGGTTGCCTATTTGTTATAGAGCCCTCTTAACACAAAACGCTCTGTATAAAAAGTGAAATTTTCTTTTTTCTTGTTACTGAAATTTTTTAAGTAAAAAATTGTACAAATGTAAAGTTGCCCTTATAAATTTTCATTTTCACTATCGTTTTCCCTACGAAAGCAGCGCCATCTACTGATTGCTAGTTTTCGTAAATAGGGAAAATGTTACAATCAGAAGAGTTTCACTATAAGGTATTGTAGAGTACTTATTACCATTTTATTATACAGATATTAAAATATATGGATATAGTTCTCGACAGAGTGGCAAGTTTTCACATACTTGTGTTGGGTTTTGATGTTTATAGTATTCTCAGATTTATTTGTTACACCGTTTTAAAAACTTACAATTTTCAATATAAATGAGTTTTTTGATATGAATGCTACAGTTACAGAATAGATACAATCAGTTGTAAAGCCACTGTGCCATTTTGCTCCAAAACAGCGGTTTAACATATTTCACTTTTGGGTTTGTTTCTAAATATCCTACTGCATATTAATTACAACCCAAATTTTTCTATATTTAGTTGCTATTTATTTATATTAAATTTTGGTTTGTCAAATAAACCATTGCAGTTTATTTCTTCTATTGACTGATACAAAAAATGCTCATTCCAATAAAATAATAATTTTAATAATTAAGGAGTTTGCCTACATATTAAATTATGTTTTTTACATACTATAAAAATATACTTGAAACGGTAACAGGAACAGGGAATTTACCCCAAAATGGAGGATAATTGCGGGACTTCATCAATCTAGGAACTTTAATCATTTCAAATTCTTACTTTTAAGAAAAATAATTGCTAAAATTTTGAAAGTTAATATTTTCATGTTGGCTCGTGAAATAAATTCATCACTGCATTTTGATTAAGGCTACGCAGTTACGGTTTGCTACGCCACTGCCAATAAGGTCTAGTCAATACCATTCGAGTCGTTTCTAGAAGAAGAAGACGATCGTAGAAAAATGACAAGTAATTTGATGTTGACATTTAACTAGTGGTTCAACTAGTTTTAGTTTTACTACACTACTATTTTTGTAATACCAAAACATATAATTTTTCTATCATTATAAGGTTGTCACAAAATGGGTAAGTAACATTTTTTGGTATTAAGTTGTCAAATATTTACGTTTTATGTTTACAGCTTTCAAAATGAATTATAGTTTTGAGGGAAACCCTAAAAACAGACCAGAACAAAATTTGTCTGGTGCCAGCAAAAAATTAACTAGAGATGTACTTCTTCAAAAAACTCACGAGGAGAGAAGGAAACGACAGGTATTTGGAATGTTGTACTTGTAAATTATATTCTGAACTCATTTTTATAGGAACAACGTGTAAAGCAACAAAGTGCAGAAATGTTACAATCGCATATTAGAAGTTATATTGTACGTAAACACAAGAAAGAAGAAGAAAGATGTTTATTTGATCAGGAAGAAAATACTGCACCAATACAAGTACTACTTCCAAAGCTATTATTTTTCTATGACGGTAAAGATGATAAATTAAGACTGGTAAGTTTTATAGACGTCTCAAAAGAAAATTAATTGGTTAATGTTTTTTTTTTTAGTTTAAGATATCAGAATATCTTGTAAACCATCATGCAGAAATATTAAGATACATGGATGTTGACACATCATTTTCGTGGTCAATAAAACGGTACCTTGTTTTGTGTCTCAAAAACATACATGATAATGATATGGTTAGACTGTTAATAAAACCACTTTATATTTTTGCTAACAATGCTCAAACTTTGGAATATTTAATTAGGAAAGGTAATACTCGTGTTCTTTTGATAATGTATCATGGAATTAAAATACTTTGTTTTTAGGTTATTATGGATATTTAAGGAATCTTTTGGAAAAAAATTATAAAGAATTGTTGGAACACATTATGGTTCTCATTCACAGACCATTTAAATATTTATATGAAATGGAAAATTGCAATGACATTGTTTTATCAGAATTTTGCTCAAGTTTTTTGAAACCAACACTAACTTATAATTTGAAAAATCTCTTGATACCGTATTTGAAGAATAAGAGGGATTTACCCTTTGAGAGAATAATTTGCTATCTGAATAGTGGTTTTCATTTTGAAAGTACAAACAGCTTATTTTATTGCATACTTGCTTTGGAACCAGAAAACTATGGTGAGTTTTTATCATCTTGTGCCGTATTACCATTATATATTTTTTTCTGTGCACAATATAAATTTCCTTTGTACAAACTGTTTAATTTTTTTAAGTGATTATTTTGAATTTGAGGTCAACGAAATAAAAACAAAGTACACACTTGTTATCTCTAAAATAAACGTCATTGAGGTAGTATCAGTTTTATCAGACACTTTTCATAATTTTATATTTAATGCTTTTCCGTTCCAAACAATGGTTAAATTATATTTTAAGATGCTTAAATAAAGACAGTTCCAAAAGTTTATTTTTGTTAGGGTATGGGACGTTTTTAAGTACATCGACCAATTTTAAGACGATTCGTTGTATGATTTTAAATCAAAAAAGTTGTAAAACATTAGTCTACAATTGATCATTTTTGAGATAAAGGTTGTGGTGATTTAAAAAAAAAAACACAATTTTTTAAATTTCTCTAGACGTTTGATGTAGATGTGTAGATTTATGATTTTCTTATTTAATTTAAGGTAATCTAGTGAATTCATAAAAATTGGCAGGGATACTGGGTGTCACTCTGACTGAAAAGCAGAAATTTGATACCTCTGGATATTTTGAATATTTCGAATCACTTAATTAAATCAACAATACACAATTTTTTTAAATATAATTTTAAATACAACTTAATTATGAAAAGTGATAAATAATTGGCATCATTTTTGTTCTGTGCTCTAACAAAATACAACATTTTTACGCCAGTTATTTTTAAAATTGTATTTCTATAAAAAAAATATATGAAAATTTTTTGAATAAGTGATCTAGTTCTAGATCTTATTATATTATATTTTACATTTTGTGAAGTGCTTGGTAATGGTAGATAAAAAAAATTATCTATTAAAAATGGTATCTTCTTTTAATTAATGGGGCCACCGGTAAATGAATTTGTATCTGAATTTGATAAATTTTTATCTTTTTTTACATAAATTATTAACCTAAGTTTCATAGTTCTTCAGAGACTTTTCTCTATTATAATGTATTAAGCTATACTCCGCGGTCAAAATTATAGAGAGTGACTCATGGCTAGTTTTTGGACTAGTAAGGGGGATGAAGCGTACCAGGAACGAAAATCCATTGGCGTGTCTTTGTAAAAGGCAACAAAATGTAGAAAATATTGAAAAAAGATAATAAAACATAACATCTAATATTTTTTTACGGTTTGCTATAACCGGCACTTTGATCCATTTTAATTATTATAGCATTTTAAAACATCCCAGTTGTGTTTTTTAATTTATAAATTTATTATTGCCATGGAATTAGACCCCTTGTCTACGCTTATGCTATGACGTTTCTCAGGACGGATAAATCAAGTCCGTTTACACCCACTAAAAAAGCATTTCCCTATTCCCTAACAAGTGCAAAAGACAGAGATATAATATAGATCGACGTTCAGTGTAATTCAGTCTATAGACGATTATAGATTCTATCGATGTGCGTAGCGAGCGGCACAAAGATAAATAATATTGAAGCATATAAAAATCATTTTATATTTTATACGCATTATGGTAATAGTGTTTTTATATTATGTCTGAGTCACTCTCTATAATTTTGACCGCGGAGTATAATTCAATTAAATTATAAAAAAAATTCTTAAAAAAATCGTATAAAATGAAGTCATGATGTAATGAACCTTTTTTTTTATTTTCGGGTTTTCATTTATATTTTAGTAATGAACTTATTTTATTTTGCTCCCGCTGTATTATAATTGTTTGGCGCACCGCGATTTTGCACACGGCCCACGAAGTCGCCGTTTCAACGGCTGAAGTTGCACACGGCACTACCAGCCGTTCTGTATAAAAGCAACGGAGTCACCTACACCAGGCAGTGCTTAGTAGGTCTTTCCACGGCACTCAACCCTCCTCTGGGTGTCCTAACCAGAGCGTTTAGCAGGTCTCTTCCGCGGCGCTCAAGGTAAGGTACACACCTGGACTCCGACTCCGGGTACTTAGCAGGTCTTTCCGCGGTACCTGACGTCTACCTCGCGGCCGACTCCGGGTGTTTAGCAGGTCTTTCCGCGACACTCGGCGTTGTCACCGTCAGGACATCCGTATTGCCTTCGTGACAATAGGTATCCCGATGTTTTTGTTATTTATATGGGTAGGGTATTATTGTTAATATTATATGTGTTTATAGACTGCGATTTATTTTAGAAAATAAAAGTTTTATTTATACCAAGTCTTGTAATATTCTCGAACCTTGGAAACCACTTCTCCACCGAGTGAACCCGGACTGTGACTGTACTAGTTCGGCGTCTGAGACCGAACCTCGAAAGTACATCACAATATTTTTAAGTATTGACAGATAGTTTAGAAAATATGAAAATTTTTTTATATTTTGTATCTTGAAAACTATTGATTTGCAGACCTATGTTTATCTAACATATTTAGCTTATAGTCATTCGAAAAAGGGCCTCTTAAAATTTGTGAAAACAGCTAACAAATATCCTGTATACAAACGAAAGATTCATTTTATTTTAGAACCAAATTGTGATAGCATTCAAGTTCTGGCTAAGTTAAGCTTGAATATTCATCGATTAAAACCGCCATACGATTTAACAACTGAAGATAGTGATGATGAGGAAGAAGTACAAATATCCGAAGAGCAATTATTGCTCTCAGATTATTTAAACATAATGAACAAGCCAGAGAAAGTGAGGAAGTGGTTACATTTTTTTGAAGCCAATAACGAAAATATACAAGTTTTGAACTCATTTACGCAGCTGTGTCATAATATTTTATTGGTGTATAAAGATTCAATAAGGAAGTACTTGTAAGCGGTTTGATGTATTTTTATAAATAATGTATTAATCTCTAACAATTACAGGTTGTTGTACAAACTTGGCTTAAATAGTATATTTTTAAATAAACTATGGTTAAACATATACAAGACTCAACAGGAAAATTTGCAAATGAAGAGTTCTTCTCTAATATCTTGGAAAGATTGCCACACTACGTTATCAGTTTTTTGTGATATGTTCACGTTTTACACGGAAACATTAACTGATAGAGGTTAGTATTTTTTTACTTTTATATTATATGTATAATACAAACTTGATTGTGCATTCTGTAGAAAATTCTGATACAAGTGAAACATTTACAAAAAATGATTTACATTATATGTCAAAATTGCTGAAGAATGTGGCCACAGAGTTAATAGAAGTAGCATTTCCAATGTGCAGATCTAGCGCAGTGAGTATTTACCTTAGTAAATGTAAAAGTAGAGTGTTAAATACAGTGAAGCTTCTCTAGCTTGAACCTCCAAGGAAGCGAAAGTGAAATTCTAGTTAGGGAAAATTGGAATTACAGAAAAAATACGACAAATTAAGGGGTCTCTTAGGCATAAATGAAAAGACTAGTTCATACATTCATATACAGGTACATACGAGATCCGCCAATTACTTAAGTAATGAGACTGATGTGAAATAAATATCACTAATGTTTTTTATCATCTGTAGTGTGATTTCCTTCAAAATATCATTTTCATGATTTTTTTCATTATGAGGCAGTCGAAACAGTTCACTAATTCTAAAGCCATATTGCTTTGTATTTAGTAAAATTAATTTTGCTCCTGTTGTATGGAATCCTCAATATAATATATATATTAGTCGTATTGAAATGATTCAACATAAATTTTTAAAATTTTTCTCTTTTAAGTGTGGACGAACTTTGAACGACAATAATTTTCATGGATTGTGTGTTGAATATAATATTATAAGTTTAGCTAACAGAAGAGTATTGGCGGATGTTATTAACCTGTATAAAATTATTAACGGTAAAATTGACTGTGTCCAATTAATTAGTAAATTATTTTTTAATATACCATGCAGGCCATTTAGGTCCTACGACTTATTTTTCATTCCTTTTAAGCATACCAATGCCTCCGCAAACTCTCCTGTGTGCAGAATGATGCGTTCTTATAACGATATTTGTAGCGGATTAGATTTATTCTCTACAACTTTAATTTCATTTAAGAGATTGCTCAAACGTATACTTTTATAATATTTTTATGCTATCCGTTTTATGATGCTTTTCTTTTATAATATTTCTTATGCTATTTATTGTCCTAAAACTTTTTGTGCTCTTGTTTGATGTATAATATCTGTTAATTTAGTGGATACTTTAGTGGGTTTTTTCGCCTGTTTGTGTCCCAAATGGTAAATAAATAAAAATAGTACCCTTCTGCTTGTACACATTTACTCCGGCTCTTCTGCCACTGCTGGTAACATTTCTGGAATTCTTCTTTTGGCACAACCTCCAAGACCCTCGTTATAGATTTGGACATCTTTTGTTGTTTGAAAATGGTGTCCATTGACCGCCATTTTGACCCTTGGAAATAGAAAAAACTCGCATGCAGCAATATGTTTGGCAAAAAAGTGCACAAGTATGCATTTCATTTTTGACTTCGACGTGTACTTTTTTTTGTCTGGGTGATCTGTTTGAATACCATTGCAAACTTTGACGTTTTGTTTCTGGATCGTACTGAAAGAACAAAGTTTAATCACCAGTGATAACACGGTTTGATAAAACTGGATTGGTTTCCACTTGTTCTAGCAACTACCACATTTTCAGCAGATCAGACTGTCTGCAAGCCTTGGCTTGTATAGATGTTTCCGAAAGTGACATTGTCCTATCGCCTTCCGGAGCCCAATTTTATTCAAGTTCAGCAACTCATTTATTCTTTTCTGCAAGGCTTCTTCGCATGGCATTGCTCTGGTGTCAAAGTGTGTTCTAATTCAGTCCATTGACCCAGAGCCCTCTGACCAAATTGGTAGATGTGCCACAGAAGCCGATAGCTTAGTCAATGTCATTATTGGCACAAGTTGTAAGTTCCTTTTCATAAAGTATTAAAATCATCATTTTTCTGAATATATAAAAAAAATTAAATATAATTTTAGTTTTATTTTAAATACTATTACTATTAAAATATAGGGAAAATGTATTCAACATTATTTTTTATAGTGAAAGTCCATGCTGATTTTGTTAAAGTTTAGTATTTCTCGCACCATTGATTTTTGCGTGTTACAATCAATTTACATAAACTTTTACAATTTTTTGAAAAACACAAGAAACAATATGTGACTAACAAAATTCTGCACCAGAACAAATTACGTTCATTAAGAAAAAAAAGGGCGGTCGGACTAAACAGAGCACAATCTGCATAGTAAATATGCGCTACTCCCACTCCGTCTTTCAGAGCTGCGTGACGGTAGCCATGATCACCACTGTAAACACTTTACAGATGTAGAGGCGCGCTACGAATCCACATATTCAGAGTTTTACAGACGAATTTTTAAGTTGAGTTAAATTGACTGTACATTATAAATGTAACATTTCCATTTTAATGTGTTTCATAAGGCTAATCTATTTAATTATGTATATAATATTGTAAATTAAATGTTTTTGTTATGAAACCCCCCTTACCAGCCGCCAGTGCCTTAATCAGCTTAACTTCACTAAACATGAAAAGAAATTTTGATATAATATAGAAACTTCCAATAAGTTTCTATCTGTCATTATTGCAAATTGGTAAATCCTGGAGACAGTACGTATTTTCCTAAAAAAATTCGAGTTAGGCTTGACTTCACGTTAAATATCAGTTCAAGTATTAAATATATTCGAGTAATCGAAATTCGACTTATCGAGATAAAATTTCTCTGTAAGGTTGTTAAAAAACTTTTTTGACTAAAAAAATTCCATTTAGATAATATTTTGAGTTAAAGAGATTCGAGTTAGGGAAGTTCCATTACACCTCTATTTGAACCAAGGATTAAAAATTATGTCACTTAAAACATTTACTGATATATTTTAGATACCTGCTACACCTGAGATACTTCATTTGTACAAATCTTGCTTAAACTGTGTAAAAATGCTGTATATGTTGGATATGAGAAAACAGTTTTGTCCATCTGGTTTTTGGACTGCAAAGAAAATCCATATATCACAGGATTTGTCTAGGAAGAACTATTTGTCAAAGAGGGCTGTTCAGTTCCATGGAATTGTTAACGATAGAGATGGTAAGACTTGATAAGTATTTTTACTCCAAATGTACTGACTTATTCGTTAACAAAGAACCGTTTTAATTATTTATGTGTTCGTATTTTAAAAGACCCTATATTTGATTATTACAGACGAGGAACATCTTCCTCCCTTGTCAACAATTGAGCAGAGATCTCTAGCTGTACTCGAGGAACTACCTTTTCTTATAGCCTTCAACACCAGGGTAATGCTTCTGAGAGATCTGTGTAGGTACAGTTTAGGAGAAAATGACTACCAAAGAATGCATCACGAGTTGTTAAACGATAACACTATTGTTATTCGCAGGACATATCTATATGAAGATGCTTTTGATAAGATTTCTACTAAAAGTGGTAAGTGATTATTTAGTATGAAAATAATTCATAATAGACTCTTTTGGTCTGACGTCACATATTTAGGCAACCCACAACAAATTGTCATAGTTGAAATTGTACAGATCGAATCTGACCCTTGTTTACTATTTACATAGATACTATAAAAATGAACAATTTTAAATTAACTTATTTCTACAAGGATTTAGAAGTATTTAAGAACAGCCAACACGTGTTTCGTAAAGTAGATACACTATAATGTGCTTAAAACTTACAAAAAACGATATAAAAGAATATGCTTAAATTTAAATAGAGTAAAAATTTACCATTAGCCGTGTTTTTCCTAATGCGCATGCTCGGGAAGAATAGCCTAATACGCAGGTGAGATCTTGTTGATATATCATCGCTGTTATCATTGGCGTATTTTCTCTCCTTTTGTTTAATCTAGTCATTTTCTAGTTCTACTAAGTATTTTTTATTGTTTTTCTTGGTGCTCTGCTGTGTCATACTGTTTATGTAGTGTTTTTTTCTTCAAGTGGTTTATTATAGAGGAACTCTTAACCAGAATCAAACTTTTGTTGAATGGTATCCTGTTGTGAGGCTACTTCGCTTACATGAAATTATCTTTAATGCGTAATGCTCAGTAACATTGATATAATTTTAATTTATTAAATACTATAAACGTCAATATTGTTCTATAAATTTAAAAATGTAAATTCTATAATTGTTGTAGTTTGTCACTTGGTGTTTGAAACTTCTTAAATATTTCTAATATTGCCTGAATTTTATTGCCACGGAAGCGTAGTTGGTCGAGAGTGAGGTGGCAAGCATTTCTCGACCAGGCTTCCTATTCTGGTCCGGGTTTCATCCCTGGCGTCGGCACTGGCAATATCGATCCATCGGCCTAGCCGGGTATCTTGGCCGATGGATTTTGATCTGCCGAGTTAAGCATCACGGACGCAGGCTGGAACTTGGATGGGTGACTTAAGACAGGCTCGGGGACGTGGCTGTGGCAGCCTATCAGAGACCGGATTCGCTCAACATCTTCCGCATGCGTGTGGTCCCCGATAAAAATGGTAATGAGCAATAAATCTCTGTAACTCAAGACCATGCTATCATACATAAATATTGTACGAGACTTCGCCACCAAGCCACCCGTGTAGTAATAGGATGGTTTGAAAAAAAGTACTCGAGTAATGAAGGAAGGTGTACAAGGGGCCTAATAAGGCCTAAGTGCCGCGGTGGAAAAACAATTCCACCACCCCTCCGACATACATACATACATACATCGATGGATAATGGGTGTTTGTCCGCATTTTTTCAAGTGTAGCCCCCTTCCGCACAGCCTTTGGCTTTGGGGGTTGTCTCATTTCTGTGTTGTGTTTTATGTTTATGTTATGTTTATGTTTTAATATCGCGATATTTACTAGACATTTTTTTGGCACTTTCCAAAGTACATAAGGTCGAAAATCGATCTAATAAAAATACTGAGAAATGCTTCATGACAGTGTGTACTATGGGATTGCCTATTATTTGGGGTATGTCACGTCACTACTAAAAAGGACTATTCACTGATCAGTAGACAGTCCACTGCCTTATAAATGGAGATCGAAAATGTTAGGGTGGCTGCAATGTGGTACAGGGTTGGCTGTAGGTCGGGTTCTCTCGTATGTAATTTTATTCAAACAAAAGTGACATAAGCATTGCCATCTTATAACTGCACTCTTTACATTATAAGAATATGTACAAGTAAATGTAAGTATTTGTACAATAGTATGAAAAAAAAGAGGGCAGTGTCTATTTTTCTACACTAAATGCTTACACTATAAAATATATAAAGTACGTACACTATTTGTTGAGATAGAATTCCAAGAAAAGAATAAGCCAATAAAGTTCTGTTATTGGAACTACTGTAACAATTTACCGTGGCAGGGGCATGCGTGCTTGAAACTGTTTCCTTTTCCAAATAAAATTTTAGTTGCCGAGTTTACCACTAGGTGATCAACTTCCAGGATCCTTTTTGATTAGCGATTCCTACTGATTGTGAAATGTTGAATGATTGGCACAAGAAGCACGTTTCGCATGAGATGCTTCTAACTTGCAATTCTTACATAGTCAATCATATAATTGGTCTAGACTAGACTTCTCAATAAGACTTGATTGAGGGTGGCTCAAATTCACTAATATCTACTAAATAAACTATCAGTACTTATTTTTCTATTTACATTTTATTTGTTTTGTACTTACCTTATTAACGGTCTGTACATAGCTAATCAGAAATGTATTTTTCTGTTACGAATTAATTTTGGAAACTGTTAATCTAATTAGAATGTATCAAAATATGCAAAAAAATAAAATTATTAATATTTTTAGAATCTGATTTGAAACATCGTGTGAGGATACAGTTTATAAATAGTGTTGGATTAGAGGAAGCTGGAATCGATGGAGGGGGAATATTTAAGGAATTTATTAACGAAGTACTAAAAACAGCATTTGATCCTAACCGAGGTTTTTTCCTATTAACAGCTGATAATGCACTCTATCCAAATCCTAATGTACATCTTATTGTGGAAAATTTTACGGACCATTACTATTTCATAGGTAGACTGGTGGGCAAGGTAAACATTATTTAAGAAAGCAATGACTTAATGAAATAATTAATTTATGTAATTATTTTAGGCAATTTTTGAAAACATTTTAGTTGACTTGCCTTTAGCAGAGTTCTTTCTGGCAAAATTATTGGTAGATCGAGCCAGTGCCCATTATTTGAAATCCTTAGATCCCGTTCTTTATAGAAATTTGTTATATCTAAGGGATTATTCAGGGGACGTTAGTGATTTAGGTTTGGATTTTACAACAGTTAGCAACGATCTGGGAGAAACAAGGGTATGATATTTTTTAACCACAGAAAAAAAATAGAACTAATTTCTGCATTCTAGGTTGTTGAACTTAAGCCGAATGGCAGAAACATTCCTGTGACAAATGAGAATCGACTGGAATACATTCAAAGACTGGCAGATCTTAAATTAAACACTCAGATAAAAAAGCAATGTGCAGCTTTCAGAGAAGGACTTAATAGTGTTGTACCAATTATGTGGTTGAAGTTGTTTAATCACAAGGAGCTACAAGTTATAATCGGTGGAGATACCCAAGAAATAGATCTGAGCGATTTAAGGGCACACACTGTTTATGGAGGTAATTCTAATTAGTCTACCTAAAGTTGTAACCAAATACGATTATTCATTTTTCACTTTTTAGGCGAATTCACTGCAGATCATCCAACCATTATTCTGTTTTGGAAAATTTTGCATAGATTCACTGATGTTCAAAAAAAGCAACTGCTGAAGTTTGTAACAAGTTGCTCTAGACCGCCACTATTGGGATTTAAGGTACTTTTTACATATCTTATATTTGTAATATTTTTCATATTTTTCAAAATACTAGTAGGTAATAATTATTTAAGTATATCTAAATTGTTTGATCAATCTTTGACGCGTCCAATGTCACAAATTAACAAAAAAAGTAACTATGAATGTACATCCAGAAATGCTTGATTTTTGAGATTCACTTTTTTTAGTTACAGGAATTCAAATTTAATTAAATGTGGTACAGGGTAAAAAGTGACACAACCATTGCCTTCTTATAACTGAACTCTACAACATTATAAGAATTATATAAGTATTTGTATAATAGTAAAACAAAAAGGGTCAGTGTCTATTTTTCTACACTAAACGCTTCACATAGAACTTACCATAAAATATATACAAAGTCTGTACAATATTTGTCGAGATATAATTCCAAGAAAAGAATAAGCCAATAAAGTTCTGTTATCGGAATTACTGTAACAATTTACCGTGGCAGGGGCGTGCCTTGAAATTTTCCGCTTTATTTTCAGAATATTAAAAAATAAACACGTTGGACATGCACTTCATTGTCGTTTGTGCCTGTGTGAGTGAGTTTGATGCTTTGCTTAGTCGAGTGTATTGTACATATTTTTTGTAGCAGTCATTAGTATTGTGTATGTGAGCATAGAGCAGCACATGGTTCGACATGGTTACAGTTAGACTTTTTTCTTAAATTTCACATCATACATTAATTTTACATCATATCATCATCACACATCTTATTAGTCTGTTTTTTTTTGTAAAGTCCAGTGGCATACTCAACTTTTTAATAACAGTTTTTGACTTAAATCAGATTCATTTTTTTTTTCATGAGTCATAGTTGATCCTGGCTTAGTTAAAAAGAGCATTCTGCAGTTTCTAAAAATGTATATGTAGTTTATCACACTTATCCAGGGTTCATAGCGACCGGGAAAAGTCGGGGAATTCATTATTCTTCATAAAAAACAGGGAATAGTCAGGCAATTTTAAAAATATTCATGAGTCAGGGAATTTGATGTTTGCAACTGGAAATGTTGTGAAAGCCGGCAATGGGTTCTTGAAAGAAAAAACTATTTGTGGTTTATAAGAGGTTCTTTGGGTATAAAAAATAATATGGAGTCCCGTTGAGAAAAAGTTCAATACATAAACACCAATTAGTATGTAATAATGTGTGACAAGTGACCCAGATTTTTTTTTTACAAGTCAGGGAAAACCTGGAAAAGTCAGGCATTTCTTTACTGCTTTTGAACCCTGTTATCTTACAAAATAAGGTATGGCTTCTTTTTTCTAAATTAAAAAGTTAGTCATGACTAAAAACAAATGAAATACTAGACATAATCTGATGCCAAATATAGGTGGCTATGGATAAAAACAAATTAGTATAGTTGTCGGGGTAAATAAAGATTTTTTTTACTGCAATCAATGTTCACGAAAGACACTATTCTCTTTAATAATAACCGGGGCACTCTAGCATAATATTATAAATGGGATATATAATAACGTAACAGTTTTTTTATAAACAGGGGCATAATTGCGAGAAAATATTTTTTACATTTGGAATGTGAAGATAACAAGAGGCTTTACAAAAATGTTTTGTAGTTACATATAAATAGGATCCACAATTTTTTATTCGTCTTGCTAAATATACAGTAGAACCTTAATTACTATTATTGTATTACTATTACCCTAACTACCTAAGGTAGTTAGAAAAATGTCTTGAAATCGTAATAAAACTATAGTTATACAAATTAATAATTCTGCACATGTAAAAAATTCTTAATATAGCCCAGATCAGCGCTTCTCATCTAATTGAGATCAGGGTACCACAAACAGAGTGAAATTTGATGGTTTACATATGCTGTGATTAAAGTTTGTTCCAGCATTTAACATATATGACTGTACTGCATAATTTAGTTCATTCCTTGAGTCTCACTCAGATTAAAATTGAAAATGAGCTTGAGTATAATTTTTTGACTAGATGTATTAATTTTACCTAATGGTTTTAGGAATTAAATCCCCAGTTTTGCATACAGTGTTCTGGAACTGAAAATAGAATGCCCACTGCAAGCACTTGCCTCAATTTGTTGAAAATACCTGTAATAAGAGATGAAGAAACACTGAGGAGCAAATTATTAGCAGCAATAGAACAACAGGCTGGTTTTGAACTCTCTTAGATAATATTGTGTAAAAAATACTTTTTTGTAACATATTTATTTAATTCAGTTGTACATAAATAAAGTATTGAACCATCACTATTAATTAAATTAATGTCTATTATTATAACATAAATAAAAATGTATATTACATCTTGGTAAATGAGGGTAATTTTTAGTGGACGTACAGAAATTTTCAAATTTATGTTACCGTTTTAGTAATTGAATGATGAAATTTTATTACTGGTGACAGTATAATTCCTGAAATGTAAAGAAAAACGGGCAGTCTTATGCAGCTAATAATGACTAATATCAATGCAGTTGTTATTTTTTCATATTTAAATTATGTGTTTGCCAACTGAATAAGTGAGCGGCATGCTGTCGAGACCTATTGTGCCGCTGGAATGGTCCGTGGCTCGACTGATTTACAATGTCTCGATTTGTCAAATGCGGTTTATACAGTTAATTACGAGGGTTGCCTTTTGTATTTTGGGAATGGACAATTCTGGTGCTGCCATCTGGTTTGTTCGATAACACAAACAAAAAAAAAAGTACTTTTCATGCGACATATGTTATCCGTAGTATTTTTGCCTACTGATCACGAATCCGGAGTCAGAATTGAGCTATCACATCCTAGGAATTTCATAACCTCAAAAAACGGGTAAAAAATAGCACGAATTTACAAAAAAATAACAGATTCACGCCAAATTTGGTGTACGGGGTGTTTTCGGGGTCACTGATCACGAATCCGAGATCAAATTCGTTTTTAAAAATTTAATCAATTACCTATGTACTTTAAGAAGGTTAAAACATGATTGGGTACTCAGATTATAAAGTAAAGAAAAATATTATAAAATGAATTTCGCAATTCTGGAATTCGTAATCAGCTACCCCGAAAACCCCCGTATACCAAATTTGACTTGAATGTTATTTTTTGAAAATTAGTTTGGCCATTTTTGATCTGCCAATTTGAATTTTGCAAAATTGACCTTGGATCCTTGATCAGCGAACCCAAAAACCTCCCGTATACCAAATTTAGCGTGAATCTGTTTTGAAAATTCATATCTGACCTTAATTCACCTGCTTTTTTGAGGTTAGAAAAAGAACCATCAATTTTAACCGCGGATTCATGTTCGGCGGAGTCTTAACTACATAAATGAACATTTGAATAGAAAAAATTTTTTTGTATTTTTCCTAGCACATGAATTTTTGCTATTTTTTGCCTCTTTTTTGAGGTTAGGAAATTCCTGTGATGTGATAGCTCAATTCTGATTCCGGATTCGTGATCAGGAGGCAAAAATACTATGGATAATATATGTTGCATGAAAAGTACAGACAACTTTTTTTTTATGTGACAGATTGAACTATTTTGAATTTTCATTTGAAATTGATACCATTACCTACTAACGGTATAAATAAATTGGAATAAACTAAATATATTTTATTAAATTATTGAATATTGTTTATAAACAAAAAAATCATTTGTGAAATTTACCAACGATTCAACGAATTTTAATTTTCCTCGCCGTGTTATGATTTCTTCGGTCATACCCATGTGGCTACATGTTCTTTTAATATGGCGTCAAGATCTGCACTAAAATTTATGAGTCCGCAAAACACATCAGGGTTGTCTGAATTTTCTGTCTCGTCGTGTCTGCGAAGTAATAATTCAAAAGCTCCGTAAAATTTTATGCAATCTATGATTTTAGATAATACATAACGATTTTTCGTTACCTGTTCATTGTTTTTCCGTATATTATCCCAATATGCAGAATCTAACTGACTTCTTATGTTTATTTTACTTAAATCTTTCACATTATATATCCATGCTTTATCCCCACTGAAAAGTAAGCACGGAAAACAAAACAGTGTATTTTTTAAATCACACCCGCACACCCACTTTGCTTTTTGTAACATTATTGTAAAATTGTCTTTTATAACTTTTACTTCGGCTTGTTCCACTAACTTCAATATTTTTAATTGTGGTGTTAGCCCACCTAATTCTTTTATTTTTAGTTTATCCTCAAGGCAGAAAACCAAATAAAGTTTTTTTTTTAACGAAACACTTCATTTTAATAACTATAATATCCGTAGACGCCTAAACAAAAATATTCACACGTGCAGCTCGCAGAAATAAACCACCACATAGGTACCACGTACGAAATATTACTGCATTTACTGTAGCAATGGCTGTCATTGTTGCAGCCACAAAAGCCTATATAAAAGTGTACTGGGTTACGTGCCTGATTAGCCAATAAAAACAAAGGACACATCTAATTGTTCGCTGTGCACACATTTTGTATATAAGGTTGCATATATATTAAGGAGCGTAGCTCGCGTCGTAATAAATAATGATTTATTTTAGCACGAGTACATTTGGATTCTTTAAATATTTTATTGATATTTAATATGATTAAATACATAAAATTTTGTGTTCTGCAGCTCCGCAGCTCTTATGGTAAAACCGCCACTGTTTAATATTATATATTAATTTTTCTAATTAATCGTATTTCATAAAGATTCATTATTAATACTGAATTTCTATTTGTTATGTACATACCTAAAATAATAAGAAGTAGAAGATAAAATACAAATTACAATTTAATTATTTTTTTTTATGATATAATTTCTTATAATAATAATTTAAGAATGCGTTCATAGATTTTATTTCTAATTTTTCTTAAATCAGTTATGGGATAAGACATGCACATTTGGTACTAAACTCATACCGTTGTTCTTTGAACAAAGCTATCAGTTTAATGGATTAATCTGGCAACATATATTCTAAAAATTACTACATTTGGTGTATTTTAATATGAGTATTTAAGGAGCTTGTTTGTCTAAACGCTTTACAGCAATGTTCACATTTAAAAGGTCTCTCCCCTGTATGAACCCTTAAATGGATTTTCAAAGATGAATTGGTACTAAATGATTTGCTACATTCTCCACAAAAGTACGATTTCTCTCCTGTATGAGTTCTCAAATGACAGGCTAATGCACTTCTGGTAATAAAACTCTTTACACATATCTGACATGGATAAGGTCGCTCACCTGAAAATAATTTTCCAGATTCAAAAATCTGAATTTAAAAATTGTTTATTAAATGTTTATAACAGCTACTTTTTTTAATTACATTTTCCATGTCTGTTTCTGATAATGAAAAAATTTTCTCACCTGTGTGTTGTGATTTTATGTGAATTTTTAACTGAGTTGTTGTAATACATTTCTTCCCACAGAATGTACACTCATGTTTTGGTTCTCGTTTCTTCCCCGAATGTACTCTAAGATGTGCCTCAAGAGAATGTTTGGCTGTGAATGCTCTACCACAGATGTTACATATAAAATTTTTCTGTTTTGTATGTTTGTATTTAATATGAGAATTAAGTTGACCTTGCAAAGCAAATGCTTTTTCACACTCTGCACATTTATAAGGTTTCTCACCTAAAAATAAGTAAAACAGATAATTGGTTAACTTTTTATTCTGCAAGATACTTACCTGTATGCGTTCTCATGTGAATTTTCAATTGGTAGCTATCAACAAATGATTTTCTACAAACCTCACATGCAAATCTTGTATCAGTGACATGAACCTATGAAATAAGTAATTTTAAATTAAAAACTCGATTACTGAATTCAGAAAAATAAAAATGGTGATATGAAGTGGATATTTACAGTCCTTTTAATTAAATTTTTCTTATACTCACTGTATAGTACCTTTTTAATGTGATTTCTTAAAAGAAGTGTCCTTGTAAATGTTTTAACACAAAATTCACATTTGAAGGGCCTCTCCCCTGTGTGTATCCTCATGTGTTCTAAAACATTGAATTGTTTATAAAAACTTTTGCCACAAAGACTGCATGCGAAATTTCTTATATTATAATGTCTTTTCATATGGTCATTTAATGTTTGCAATTGTTTAAATTTTTTGCTGCATTTTTCACATTCAAAATTTCGGTTTTCTCCAGGCGTTTCTTTGTCTTTTGTATTTAAATATATATTACTTTTTTCATAAAAATTAATATCTTCATATTCTTTTTTGATTAACAGTTGTTCAGGAATAATTGTTTCTCTTTCAGATTTTGTAAAATTTTTAGAAGAAAGATTTATTACTGTATTTTCTTCTTGATTTTCCACTGTGTTGGTAAAATAAATAGTTCTATCAATTCCACCTTGTTTTTGGCCTTCAATTTCTTGAATAACTAAGTGTCCAATTTTAAATGAATGAATTATTTGTTGATAAAAATTGAACCAACTTTGTACTTTGCTTATACAGTCCATGCATATATAATGAGACCTATCTTCTTCCAACATCTAAAAAATTGAAATGGATGTAGGTATTTTATTAAGGAACCAAAACTACACGATTTATTTTTACTTTTATGGATGTGCAGGAAATTATGATGTTTTCAATTCCAGATTCACTTAGTATTATCATGGTACTTTTTTTAATCAAACATATTCTACAAACTTCACTTATATCTATGGATTCATATTGTTTTAAAACATCCATTGTATAAATTAAATAGATGTTAACCTCATATACTTGACAGTCTTGACAGATTAGCACCTAACCTAAGAAAAACATATATTAATTATTAATCGATTCGTCCTACTAGGCCTACAGTCCATTACACACAGACATAAAAGACATATAACCTACATGTTTTAATTCACGTAAATAATTCTTAATTTTGTCACATTTATATCGGTAAAATATCTATATTTATCATATAGTTTTTAATATTTTGCAAAAAAATATTGATGTTACGATATATTATTCTCTCAAAAATATCGGTAGTAATATGTTATTCTTGACATTCTTATGATTTTAAAGAGAGAGAGAGAACAATAATAGAAGAACCAATAAAGAACTTCATGTAAATAAATATGTTGCCAAATATCAAATTAGAGTGCGCTAGTGTTTCATATGCACCCTTCAAGCATATCATCACTATTTCGGTGCATACATGGAGCATATACTACTGGAGGTATATGCTCGAAGTATGCATGTACCGAAATAGTGTAGGGGAGGAAACTTTTTATTTAATAAATTCTTAAAAACAAATTGCAATATTTATTTCGATTTTAGGTTAGTATATAAATATAGATGGAATCACATATGTGTACCGTGGTGTGAAAATAGCATTCGTTTTATAAGCTATCCTGTATACCTAGACAATAGACATACTTATCTACATTTAGATTTTCACATTCAGTAGATAGTGAAAATAGTAAATGTGACCGTCAGCTGGCTCGATTTCGTTCTGTCTGCACATGACGCCTAGATAAATGATACTAACATGACGCTAGAGATGTTTTAAAATCTTATGAGCTTTGACCTTCATATGCGCAGAAACATAATTCCGACCGTCGCCTAAATTATTCTACGTCCTAAAAACATTACACCTATTATTCACAGTCTCTCTCGAGCTCTAGCGTAAACAAGCCTTTGATCCGATTACAAATATCATAATAAAATGCCCTATTCTTTATTATTTTAATATAAACAATAAAAATATATATAACGAACGTTCGCCAGTTGACTTTATTAATGCCCGAGCGCCTTAGTTCTTTTCTAGTTGTAATGAGGCACGTAGTCTAATTCTGAGTCAATGTTTTCACAACGTGCTTATTAGAAGAATTATGGGGATACGCCACGCCTTTCGCGCATTTCGCGGCTCATGAGATATTAAAAGATCTCTACCTCTGAGACTAGCTCAAATCTCAAATTTGTATAATATTATTGACACAGCGATAGTTATATAGGTATTATATATACATATATATATAAACAGACAATTTAAGTTGAAACCTTTTCCCTGAATCCTAGACCTGAAATTGTGCTTAAAAAGTATCGTGTAAACTTGGAAGAAACATATATGTTTCTGTATAATAAAATTAATGATGTGAGATATTTAGGCTGTTACAGCTTAGATTACTAGAAAAACGAGAAAGTTGCATTTTGATGTAAATATGTGATGATTTCGTCAGTCATGTGACGTAAGCACGGGCGAGTAGGTCATTAAAAATAAAAATAGTCCAACCTGTGCAACGGTTTACAACGGCGTATTCCGTATTATGAGACTTACATATATTAACTTTTCTAACCAGTGTATTTAGCAGAATAACAAGGATGAAATTTTTGAAAATTTTAATTTTTATTAAAAAAGAGTACGCCTATGAATTCGTTCCTTCTTCTAGTAAATATAAAGAGGAAGAGGAAGATTTAATTATTGTTGTGTTGTTATTTGTCATTTTTTTTATGGGTTCATTTGAGTGATGGTGACTGCAATTGAAAGCGGTATTTGCATATAATTTCAATTTCACTCTAAAATAAATACCTATATATAAAAAATATTGCAGTAGAAAGTTTGTAATTACAAAGAAGTAATATTTTTTGGTCGCCAGAAGTAGTGCGTATACTTCTAGTAAGTTTAAATAATATACGATAATTCGTATACTTAACGTAAAATTTACAGTTTCAGAAATTAAATGACAAAACTTATCATGGAAGACGAAGGACAACAAATTGCTGTAAGTGTACCACTTTTTTTAAGAAAGCTGTGGAAAATGGTTAATGACAAAGAAGCTGAAAATGTAATAGGTTGGAACTCCACCGGAGACGGATTTGTGATTTATGACCAATTACAATTTATCACAAAATTATTGCCAAAATATTTTAAACATAATAATATGGCCAGTTTCATACGTCAACTAAATTTTTATGATTTCCATAAAGTTTCCGGTATCGATAAAGATGAAATACAATTCACTCATAGTTGTTTTTTAAAGGATCTTCCCGAGACCCTCGTATTTATAAGGAGAAAATGTACTTCTCTTCGTTCCAAATTAACAAATAATGTTAAAGATGAAGAATTAACTGAAATTCTCAGTGTTGTCAAGGAACTAAAATCTAAACATGCTTTGGTCGATAATGAGTTGAAAATGTTGAAGCAGGAAAATGCTGCGCTGTGGAATGAAGTTAATAATTTACGTTTGAAGCATGCTAAACAAACCAAAATCATTAATAAAATAATTCATTTTCTCATTTCATACATGCATTCACATCAAAATCCATTGTCAAAAGGAAAAGTATCGGTTGGTAGGAGAAATGCCCAAAATTTGAAGACGGGTCCTACTATTTTAGAAATCGATTATCATAATGGTCCTAATTATGTACACAAAAAAGCTAAGCAAAACTCTTATAATTTTACAGAACCTGGTCAAAGTGGAGCTATTACATACCCTTCTGCAGAAGTTGAGAGTTGTTCAAACATACAGCCAACTGAACGTACCTTAGATGAAATTTTAGACAAAGTTGGTGCAACCATTAATGAAAACAAAATGACTAAGCATTTGGTCAAAGCTAGTTCAACGGACAATTCAAATATTAATATGGCAACTAATGAGAAACCTAGTAGTTCAAATGAATCCAATTTAGAAGCTAAAAATTCTCAAGATGTAAAAACTAAAGCATTCGAAAATTCCAATGCTAGCTTTGGAATATACACTCCTGCATATAGAAAGAAACAGGTACCACTTCAGAAGCCTGTGAAATATAAAATATTACATAATCCAAGAGAAAATCTTGGTTTGTATCTTAATAACACCCAAGTGGAACTAAGCTCATTGCAGGACATGCTAAATAATTTGAATTCAATGGAATTAACCAACTTTTGTAATTTAATAGAGGAAGCAGAAATGGAAAATTCCAAAGAAGCCAGACCAGATTTGGTTAATATTTGTCAAGAAATAGATGATGAACAACGCCTCAGTGATAATGATAATCTAGTAGATAGCGATGAATATGTAAAAAGTTCATTTGCAGAGGAGCTTGCTGATTTGCCAATGGAACCAACTACTACAAATGAAACTAATTTGGACAGTGGAGAATATAGTGCCACATTGCAAATCCCAAGTGACTTGCAAAGTGGACAGTATAGTGACGGAAATTTGAATGACATTGAATCAGATGTTCTACCTGATGAGTATTTTACAATCTGATTTAAGGAAAAAATTTGAATTTTGTTATGTTCTTTTCCTGCTTTCATTGAATATTCTCTAATTATAAGGAAAATATATATACGTATTCTTTTGCTTCTAGTATTAGCTCTGTTTAACACGCCTTAAATGGGTATTTTAAAAGCTTTGTAGTATATACAGAGTGCACATTTATTTGTTGACTATGTTGAAAAATAATGTTAATTTTTTTCACAAGAACGAAGGCAACAGTTTAGAAATTTAGTTATAAGGGCATTTTATTGGTGTACAATGTGCTGTGTGAGTTAAGGCAGTTTATGAAAACTTTTATTCCTTTCGTAACAGTTCAATGCCAAACACTTACGGTTATATTAATTAAATTTTATATTGAGAAATTTGAATAACAAAGTACCACAGTCACAATGAAAAACCTACAGGTAGGACTACAAGAATTTTGGGAACAAATGAATTCACCGAAGACGCTCGATGTTTTCAGGAGCTCTTGTAATCTTGTGTCCACCTGTAGATTTTTTGTTGTAATGGCGGTGCCTTGTGATTCAAAATCTAACTAATCTGACTAAAAATGCTTATTAATGTCATGAATGTGCATTGTATAGGCACTGAACTGTTATGAAAGAACGATTGTTATCGTAAAACGCCTTGACACACATAGCATGTTAAAATGCTCAATTGTAACTATTTCCAAGTCAATACCTTTGTTTACAAGATGAGCTCAAAATGTGTTTATCTTCATTACTTTTTGAGTACAAACAAGTCAACAAACAAATGAGGAAATCATTCCTGGATATTCATTCAGTACTTCCAATAATAAATTTTTTTCTGTACAAGAATTATACAGGTTGTCTCGTGGCCCATACTTCAAGCAGGGAAGCTATTATGGGTGAAAATAAACCGATTTATTACTAACAGTTACGAACAATTTTGCTTCTTTAAAAAGTTATCAGCCTTCAACCAATAATTGATTGACAATTATCAACCAATGAAATTTGATATAGAACTGTTTTGTGGAGTAGTTGAATATGAATACGAACACATTTTTTACTTGGAGGTTACTAAGAACACCGTAAAGTGTGTCATATTTTTTATTGCTATAGATTTTGATATGCATATTTTTTATGAAGTCACTTTATTTACTTAAAAAAAATGTATATTTGCCCTTGTATTTGTTATCGTTAAAATACAGCACTTCCGAGAAAAATTTATTTCAATTTTTTACAACGGCTACAGATAGCCAAGTATTTGGGAGTATTCTAATATAATCTAAATTGTATGTATTTATGTAGTTACTTAAACAATGTTAACGATATTCTGGTGATAAGTTGGTTTAAATTATAAAAAATATTGAATTTAGTTGAGATTTTAACAAGTGCAGTTTAATTAGACTAGAATGTCTCTAAATATGATTGTCCTTTTAATGACTACTGTAAAAAATTTAAATCCATTTGTTTCTGTAACGGTGCATCTTTGTGACATTCAATGAGTGTACCTCTTAAAAAATAGGGCAAAAAATGATGAACTGTATAAGATGTTTCAACAACCTTTAAGTTTTAAAGAAAAAATATTCATATTCGGATATACAAATCTCCCCTCCCCATAACACGTTTTATTGTAATATCTTTAAAAGTGACAAATTATCTTTAAAAATGAAGTATATATTGTTCTGAAGGCCGACTACTATTTTAAGAAACAAAATTGTACAAAGATAATTTGATCTAAACCAGTGTATTTGCTTCCAGATACCATATATCCATACTTAAAGTTGGTATAGAAAAGGCATTCATAAATTACAAAATTATAATTTTTCACTTTTTTATGTACCTAATTATTTATTCTTAAATATCGTCTGACTAGTAGTAACATATTTTAACTAATTTTAATAACAATACTATATTTGTACTAAAATTAGCAGCCTCAAATTTCAAAATAATTAAAATCCTGCTTTATAAATACAACATTAAAGTAAACAGTGTGAAGCAAATTAAGGCATTTTAAGATTAGATTATTTAACCGAATGCAACATTGTAATGTCTTGATATTCGATAAAATTCTTAAAATTAAAATTTTATTAGCTTTTAAAACATTCAGCCAAAGACAATATGTTAGATTACATTACATAATAGTGTTATATGGAATATAATTTGTTTATTCTAATCAATGTATTAGTTTAAATAGAACAATTTTTGTTAAACAGATTACACTTTTTATGTGCACAAGGAAAATGATTCTTATTTTATAACTTGGAGTTCACATTTTCAAAATAATTTCATCGAGAATCTTTTTTTCAGAAGTACGATTCCTGTAAATACATATTTATATAATGAGGACTTTAGTTGACAGAACTAATTGCTGCTATAAGCGTTTCAAACATTTGTATGTGTTTTTTAAAGGTTAATTTTAACTGATAATATTTATATGTAATGAAAAAATTTATAATTTTTTCAAAATTTAAGTTTGAAAATTATGTAACTATAAGAAAACAGAATTTTACTGTCATTATAAACACAAATTTCCCAATAAACCACCAATAAGACTGACAATCTACAATTAATTACAATTGTGTACGAAATACCAGTATCAATTTGGATTATCATAATCCTTGAAACCTAAATGTTTATAATATATATTATACTAAAAAAAACCGGTACTAAAAAGAAACAAAAATTGCAATTAAGTATCTCATTGTTTCACTATTGATAAAAAGATTGCGTAATATTAATAAATGTGACATATAAAGCTCACATTTTGTTAATAGAAATTTACGAAAATACACTAAAAACACTGTGTGCTTAGATTATTATCACTCTCCTTATTACTCTTATGGTATGGTGTTAGAGATATATAGTGATATGTTTAGATGACTAGGAGTTAATTTTCGTAAATCCCTATTGTAATATTATTCATGAAATATATTGAGAGATTTTTTAGCTTTATTTTTAATAGATATGATCGTAAAAATTATGAAATTAAAGTTTATTTCTTTTTATGGTTTCTCAGTTTAGGAATATAAATACATTTCGTCATTTGATATATTAATAAAATATACTACACAAGCTAAATTCAATTTCTCAATATAGGTATATGATATAATATAATTCACCTAGACTGCCATAAACTCAGTATACATTTTCTGTAAACTATAATTAAGCCAGTTCACTGATTGTTCTCTACATAACTGTACAACCAACATAATTTATTGATTGAATCTCAGTTAAATAAATACTTGCATTAATTTCACTGTTGATAAGATATCTATACTTTTTTTCATTTTAAACCAGATCTGCCTCAAGTTGATAATTGAATTTTTTTACATATTTTTTTTTCATAGAATGGAATTCATATTACTACACTAATTTATAATATAAATTCTGTTTCGTACAATCATATTACTAAAATATAAAAAATGATGACATCACTCTAGGCTACTTTTTGCACAAGTTCTAAGGGAGTCAAAAATAAACACTGATATGTACTATATATAGTAATGTTGCAACATTCAATTATAAAAGTACATATATTTATTTTATACTTACTTTTTAAAGGTTATTATCCTATTTAAACTACTGCTGTAGTTATATAAGTGTTATGTAAAAATAAAATACAATAAGTACCTAATCTATTCATTTCTACTTTCCTAACATAAATGTATATTAGCCGGAATAAGAAAATTGTTCAATGTCTTATTGAAGCATATAGGCATCTATCACTTGGTAAATTTTAAGTTGATATTTAAAAAAATGAATATCTGTTAGTGAGTACGGGCCTGTTCTCAGAAAAATATTTATTGATCATAAAATATAAAACTAATCGTTGCTCTAATGTCCAAAGTTAATAAATCAATAAAATGTAAACGCACTAGTCTACAACTACAAATATTTGATAATGGTTAAAATAATGATATACAATTTAACAATTATTTTTGTGGCATTTTTAAATATAAAAGTCGATATATCATTATCATTATGCTATATAAAATAAAAATAAAATTATTTTTTATGTTGACAATTTTGCAATTAAAATATTTTTATATAGTCGAATGAATTTTGTTGATATAGGTAGCACAATTTAACCTTATTATTAAGTACCTACCTAGGTACCTTACCTATTTGGGATTTAGATTCAAAATATTTTGAAAAAGCATGCATCTACCGTAAATTTTTAGCAAAGAATTTTTACTTTTTATATTGATAGTATCGACAAAATTTTCCAGCATTACTTGAAGTCTAGACCCTAGACGTATGGGATATGTTTTGTGTATGGAATATTGGATATAGGATATAGAGATGATTTTTATGTTATCTGAAATTAGAATTCAAATAAATTTATTTTACATTTCAGATATGCTGGGAACATTTTTTTAAAATGTAGGTACCACATTTATCTATTTTTAATTCGCCTGTATAACTATGTCTATATATGTCTAAACTTTTACATAAACTGACAATAGAATCCAATAAATACGACGAAACAGTAAGATGAAGAAGTTACATTTATATGAAAATTATGAAAAATTACAATCTGAAAAGTGAATTTTTAAAGTATAATCAAAAACGAAAGTAATGAAACATTTATAGACGACAAATAAGATAATGATAAACAAACATCTAAAATCGTTCATTTAATGAAGGTTTCCATTCATTTCGGAGCGTTGGATAGAAATTTGCCATTCAAAGATCGCGCGCAAGTATTGGTCAAAGGAGTGCAAATGGCTGCGTTCAGCAACAGTCAAAGTCGTGCAGCGGACAATTGTGGGTCAGCCCCAAGGATTTTATACAAATGTATAAAATCCTTGGGTCAGCCCAATCAGCTGATTGGGATTATTGGGCAGGACAGACAGTATTTCAGTACATGCTGTCTCACTTTAGCACGCACTAGTATTCATATTTGCGTGCGTGCTAGAGTGAGACAGCATGTACTTAGATACTGTCTGTCTCTCTCGCCTCTCGCACACTCAGCCACACTTTTCGCAATGGCAATAATAGCATGCTATCTCCAGTAGTATATACTCGAAGGGATGGATAAAATTCCAAATGTCAGCATATATTACTGGAGGAAGCATGCGATTGCGAAAAGTGTGGCTAAACGTGCGAGAGACAGACAGTATCTTAGTACCTGCTACCTCACTCTAGCACGCACTCTAGCATTCATAATCGCGTGCGTGCTAGAGTGAGACAACAAATACTGAGATACTCTCTGTCTCTCTTGCACACTCAGCTACACTTTTCGCAAGGGCAATAATGGCATGCTACCTCCAGTCTCTAGTAGTATAGTATATGCTCGAAGTGGGAAGTGGGAAGATCTTGGGAAGTGGGGATAACGGATACGGATATCCGTGACGTGACCACGCAATCATGCATGCATATGGATCCTGACTAGTTATCTATTGTCTCTGATCCTGACACTGATACTAAACTGACACGGAACTGATGCTAATGTTTTTCTAATAAACTAATAAACCTTAAAAGAACACGGCATTTCTGTTGAAGTTTGTTCGATGTTCACGGAAAATGTTCATGTTGGTAGCTGGTGGGATGTTTACAAAATATAATATTAAACTTGCACAGGTATAATGAATAATATGGAATATGTTTAATTAATAATTAATAGTAAAATGTCCAGAATAACTGAAAATGATTTGTATGGCACAAATTTTTCAATAGAATCTATGAAAGTAATTGCTGAGAGTATTGGCATAGCAAATTTAGCAGACGATGCTGCAAAAGAATTAGCAGAAGATATTTCATTCCGAGTAAAACATATTATTCAAGATGCAGCAAAATTTATGAACCATGCGAAACGAACCAAATTATTACAAAGTGATATAGATGCGGCGTTAAAAGTTAAGAATATTGAGGTAACTGTTCATTCATACTGTGTTTCTGTGTTGTTTAAATACTATGTCTTCCTTATTTATAGCCACAATATGGTTTTCAATCAGCAGAGCCACTTCCTTTTCGTTTTGCTACTGGAGGTGGTCGAGAATTACATTTCATCGAGGAAAAAGAAGTGGATTTAAATGATCTACTACAAAACTTGACCCCCAAAGCACCTTTAGAGTGCACACTACGATCTCATTGGTTGTTTATAGATGGGGTTCAACCAACCATCCCAGAAAATCCACCACCAGTTTCAAAAACTACACAAAAGGTAGGTACAAATATAATTCTTTTATTAACTAATTTCAATACATAGATTTCTTTTAATTTCTAGTTGGAATCTGTTGATCCTGTTAATAAAAAACCAGCAAAGGAAACTGCTGGTAAACCCACAACTGGAAAACAAAAGCTAAGGAATGTGGAAACTGTTCAAATTAAACAGTTAGCCACACATGAGTTATCTGTGGAACAACAATTATATTATAAAGAAATAACCGAGGCCTGCGTTGGATCTGATGAAGCTAGGAGAGCAGTAAGTGGTATATGATAGATAGAACACATATAACTTAATACTTTTCGAAATATATGATTAAAAAATTTACTTTAAACTTATTGCAACTATACAAAAATGTTTTTAGGAAGCTCTACAAAGTCTCTCTTCTGATCCGGGACTTCACGAAATGCTTCCTAGAATGTGTACATTTATAATCGAAGGGGTTAGAGTAAATGTAGTGCAAAATAACTTGGCCATTTTAATTTATCTCATGCGCATGGTAAAAGCTCTACTTGACAATCAATCTTTGTATTTGGAAAAATATGTAAGTATGTAGAAGGTATTTTGCAAAAATAATGTGATTTGTGAAAAGTTTAAGCTCTCATTAATGTTGCTACAAATGTAAGGCACATTCCGCAGATTATTTTGTATCATTGCTTTTAAAAAAAGTTTATGCTTTTCAAATTTTTAATTAAATATTATAACACCATTGCCTTGGATACACCTACAGACTATTAGAAAATTAGAGTTTTTCAAATAAAAATTTGTGTTCTTATCTGCTTTATTGGATCTTCATTTATTTTAATGCTCTACATTTCTCCATCAGTGATAATGGAACTCGGAGCATTTACTTCATCTTCCAGTTTTTGTAGTCGAACAAGAATCTCTCCTTTTGTTTTAAATTGTCCAAAATCTAATTATTCCTCTTGGAAGGTTTGCATGTTAAAAAGTTTTGATAATACAGTCTTTTATTACAGTATTATTACAGTCTTTTTAGTCTAGGACATCTCTAACAAGAATTTATAAACTATTGTTAGATTCACAATATATCAGCTCACTGTCAAATCTTATTTATAAGATTATATAATATTATCTGAACAGTTTTGGAGATATCTGGATTAAAACTAATTTTAGGGGCTACCTTTAAAGGACTATAGCCCATTTAGAAGCCATTCTACCTGCGTTTGTTCATATAAACTTTATCACTCTTTTTTAGTTGTTAAATTTGCCAGTACAATATTGCAGTCTAATTTTGGGACACTATTTAAAACAATTAAAATATAAGCTACCTCTTTCATTTTTCTTGTTTAAAATTCATTAACTTTGTAATTTTTCAAAATAAAAAATTCTATTCATAAATTTTTATATTTGCTGTGTTTAAGTAAAACTAAAGTAATGCATTTTTAATAGTATATTCGGTGCATTTATTTTCTTAATCTATCAGTTCAGTAGGTAATTGTGGTTAATACTACTTAAAAAGTTTGAGTATACTGTGAATTTTATTAAATGTAAATTAAGATTATTTTAATCTCGTGACTGTGTAAATTAGTAATTTTAAACTTTTGTGCTTTTGTGGGCTGCCATTTTCCCCTTGAAATTCGATATTTTTTAGAGGTATGATTTATGTATACAGGGTGTTTCAGGAAACATGGGCTTGGGGCAAATTCCTAACCTAAAAACAAAAATCTAGTTTTCCACTTGAGGGAATTAAATGAAATTTGGACAATTAACAATTTACAACCGAATACAAATTCCTAGGTATTTTTATGTTGAACATGAATTACAGGACTGGACTTACTGGCAAGCAATGAAAATTTTGGAAACTGCTGGATTGGAGATGTGGTCCAATTGCGTGTCATGTGAAAGAGCTTGTTTATAAAACTACTGTCACTTCAAGGTGAGCGTATATCAGACGCATTCGCTTTAATTCGCCGAAACATAGGAATATTTCGACGAGTTAGAAAAACCATAAAAAAAGTTTGGGGTTGCATTCGAGCTGAAGGTGGACACTCTCAACATTTCCTGTAAAATATTATATTATGTAATAAATAATTGTTTATTTTAATACTACATTTAAAATATTGAAAATTCGAGGGAAAACGAAAAAATAGTATGAGTCAATTTTTGGTCAAAATTGAGCTAGAAATTATCCCATGTAATTATAAATTAGATATCTCAACGTAGAACAATTTTTTCTTTGATTAAATCCAAGGGCTTACCACTAAGTCTGGTCCTGCAATTCATGTTAAATATAATAATACTTAGGAATGTGTATTCCGTTGTAAATAGAATTTCATTCAATTCCCTCGAGTGGAAATCTAGATTTTTGGAAAGAACATATTTTATTTTAAAACCTTGATACCCTGTAGCTAAGAAACAGCGAAATCGGACCCATGTTGATATGAAAAAATAATCTTGTTTTTAGGTTAGGAATCTGCCCCCGGGCATTGGTCCATGTTTTCTGAAACACCCTGTATAAATAGTCAACATGTCCGGTGGACTTTCCGAGTTATCTGCTGGATCCACAAGGAGCCAGGTCGGCCCAGCACAGTATGGGCAATATCGAAAATTTTAAAAATTCGATTTTTATTGTTTATAGGGGTTTTTCATATCAATAATCACGATTTTCATAACAGATTATCACCATTTTGCCAAAAAGACCTCTTTCGAGGTATAAAATTTGACTCGCTGCGATTTTAGACATATGAACATATTCGAAAAAAAAAGCGGTCCCTTATTGGGAAAAGGAAAATTTTTCGTTTCCAGCACCCTACCGATAATATCTGAAAAATGAATTCTTTTATAGTTGTACAAGAGATTTGGGTGATGCACCACAGGAATGAGAGTGAAAAAGAATAAAATTTTAAACCATTTCTAAAAATTTTAAAAAGATTCTGGTATATTCTGTAATAAAAAAGAGATATCAATCACATTTATGTTTTCTCGGTTTGATTTGTATTTTTAATAAAGATGTGGAAAATAAAAATGAAAAAATAGTATGGTTTCAAACGAAAAAGTGTAAATATACAGGGTGATTCAATCGTAATGTCATTCATTTTAAGGGAAGATATGGATAAATGAGTAGAATACAAATACGCGATTAAAAAAATTTTAAAATGCATATTGACCCTGAAAAAAATATTTTAAAATCATTTAGACCCCTTTTCGGACCTCTGCTGACCACTGACCTACATCGAGAGTGAATCTTGACCTACCGTACTGTTCGGTCACTAACCTAAATTTAATATTCTTAATGTTTTCACTGTTTTATAATTGAATATGAGTTTTTAGGATTACATATGTTCAGTAATTATTCAGTTTGTAGTATGTATACCTTATTGTGTGATTTATTACTTTTCCCAGTTGTATGGTACCTACTTATTTAAAATGACAAATACGGCTAAAAAACACTTACATTCGTCCATAAAATCTTAATAAACTTGAGAACTGTTGCACTTTGATTTTGAAAGCAATTGCGAAACTGGAAGAGACGATGACTAGGAAATCAGTTGTTCCCTATTATGAAGTGGAGCGCCGAATTAACGGGAATTAAGGGGTAATTTGCTTGTAATTTTTTAAAGGTTGAGAATTTTTTTTTTCGATTTTCTGTCTTTATTAGGTCTTCCAAGTACACGGTTAAAATTAATGACATTATAACTGAATCATTCTTTGTACTATTTATCCCCTTCTTCAGTTTACCCCCACCCCTAAAATTTGCCATCCCAAATCTCTTGTTCTACCAGAACAATTTATCTTGTGCATCTCGATAAACATTTTTCACCATGTCTTATGAGTGTGATGGAAAAAAGTTTCCAGGATAAGGAAACATGATTTTTACAGTGTAACAAAACTCTACGTTCAACTGCCTATTGATCAATCACGTCAAAACCTGACATTAGCAGTGGCTCGTGTAGGTAAACTAACAAACACTAGAAATGATGATTAATGAAACCGAAATTATCCATACAACATTCATTTGTTAATTGAAATATTGTATTTTGTCACATTAATTCTGGTATTAGTTGTATCATTTTGCTGCTGTGTAAATGACTCAAAAATGATTGTCTTTTGATTTGGTACAAGAGTATCTTTGCAATTTAAGATTGTACAAATTTTTTAATTTACGTGCAGCATTGTGAAAAATTTCAAATAAACAAGTTACAATGGAAATTACCTACAACCCTCACCCTTTCCAAATGGAATAAAATGAATTTTATTTCAGCACCATCTAATTTTACATAAGATTTACATAAATTTCATCAAAAATACATATGTACTATCAATACTGGAATCTTAATTTCAAGCGTAATACTAGACTTCAAAGATTAATACACTGTTTTGTGACAAACTATAAATAATTTCGTTTGATGAGAATTGTAAGATTTTTAGAATTAATTAGAACTAGCTTAATACCATTTAAGTAATGTAAAAGTGAAGTATTAACAAAATTTTAGCGATATTTTTTAAATAAATTATCTTCGAGTGTCAGACTGGTCATCAGTTAATATACTGAGTGCTGTAAACTGCTTGAGAATTTATTTTTGAATCTTTCCTTTGAGCACAAATGAAAATACACGAGAACAAATGACCATAAACTACAAGGACTCAGCGAATTATGTTTTACTGATGTAATGATTTTAAAATTAAGAAACGTGTAATATGTTTATTATATTAATTGAAAGTTCTTATTTTTCTCAAATTTTTTTGTGAAAATTCTAAATATTCTCAAAAATCTTCCTTAATGCTCTATTTTTTAATATTTGTAGAAGCAATATTAAAAAATATTAAAGTCACAATAGCACATGCATATAAATTTTGGTGCAAATTCAAAATTCTCAACATGTAATCTTGCGAAAAAGAAGGAAATTCCTGTTGTCACAAAAATCTGGAAGATTAAATAAATACATGGAGGTCGATTATCACTTAACATTCTCAGGTTACTCAGAAATAATGGATCATCTGCTGTATATGTAGAATGTAAATATGGATATATTAGGCCCATTGATACGGTTTTGTAGCTGTCTATATCTTTTTAGTTGCATGAATTAATACCTTCAGTGACAACATGCATAGTATCGAAGCAGTTCTGTAATAGACCAGATCAGGACAACCACTGGGCTCTGAGAGACTTTGCTTCCAGGTTAATGGCGCAAATATGTAAAAATTTCAACACCAGTACGAACAACATTCAGACCAGAGTGACAAGAATGTTCTGTAATGCTTTGCAACAGGGAGAGAAAGTTCCACTCTCCTCTCTATACGGTGCACTCCAAGGCCTATCTGAATTGGGCGCAGACGTTGTACGAATATTTATTTTACCGAAAATAAAACTTATTGGTAAGACACTTTTATTGAAGGGAATAGTTATTTGTGTAGTCTAGAAAGTAACGTTTTTCTGAACCGGTAGAAAGTCTGCAAGAAAACGCTTTTTGTGTATTAATCTTTTATATTACAAACTAACACTGAATAATATTTGTTTTAAGTGGATATAATGTGAATATACTGCATAATTGCACTGTTGCTTGATTGACGTGGCATCATGAACGCTGTGTGTAATCATTATGAAGGCTGTGTGTAATAAACCGTGACATTTTTTTCCAAAATTGGTAAGGCTAGTTACCATTTAAATACATTTTTTGACAGTATAAAATATCCAATAACCGTTAAAATTTACAAAATAAGTTCTTCAATACAAAATTTTGTAAAATTTTAGCAAATTGATTGTTTTTACCGACGGATTTATAACAAACCATAACAGAATTATGCTTACTTTGACTGCTACGATAGCCTTCAAATATTTTCTCTGCATTTGGATTGTTCGATTAATGCCTATAAAATAAAATGTAACTTTTCAGAGCATGAAAAAATGGTATGCCCAAAATAAAAAAATGTCACGAGAATCTTAAATTTTTTCATTGACTTCAATTTTATAGGTGCTCGAATAGAAACTCACCTAGAAGGCACCCTTATTTCAAATGTCGATAAAACTGCTTCGGGCCATATAAAGCAGTTACTGATAAAGGTTTTGGCTCCTGTATTGAAAAGTATTCGAGATCCGCCTGACAACATCGAAGAGTATAAACAAGAGTATGGCTATTTGGGTGTAGCGTTATACAATGCCGTGGTTAAAGCACGAACTCAGCCAAACCCTGTAACTACAGTACCGACAAATATAAGCAGTAGTCCTATCACCAGCAGTTCCTCGATTACAAGAACAGTTACAACTCCAACAGGGATAATTCAACAGGTTTGTTCATTTATAATAAGTATATTCAACATCATTTTCGTATTTAAAAATTAAGTACTGAGTGTATTAATACAGTATATGTCCGTTTTAAGGATTATTATTTAATGTTTCATTATTCGAAAAAAAAGCCAACGATTGGAATGGATATGGTTTAAAATAACAACCAAAGTAGGTATCACACACCGATGCGAGAACAGTGCCACAGCAAAGAAATGGGAATTTATAGATGTTTTTTGTGTTTTGGTTGGTTGTAGATACATGTTTTTATGTAGATTGGGTAGGTTAGAATTGATATCCTAATTATGTTTGGATATGGAGATAGGATCCATAGTAGGGTTTCTGGTCGAGACTTCTCGAAGCGAGAATTCCCGGGAAATCTGGCGTTACTCGAGACGAGAAAAAAGTGTCGAGAAATCGAGAAATTTAAAAATCACACGCGTCAAGTTCTTGACTGGAGTTCGTTTCGTTCATGCATTCAATTCGTTTCTCGACAAATAACTGAGCGGTTAAAGTGGTTTCTCTACCAGCTCATGATTTATTTATTTTAAGTTTTTAAGGCTTTAGTTTACTTTGATGATTCTTTTTTTTAATGTACAGGGTGATTCACTATATTTTGATCCCCCCTTTAACTTTTTTGTTTTAAGGGTTATAAAAAAATGTGAAATACAAAAGTTGCACGATTTTTTATGAAGTTTTCGAAAATGATAGTAGAAAAACAAATGAAGTTCAAACAAAATGGCCGCGGATGTTAACTTTGTTAATTTAAATCGAACACCTTGTATATTTTTACATATTTGGATAGAACGTTCCTTGTCGATCATAGTCATATAGGGTTTGTTGGGTCCATCTCTAATAATAGGCGAGATAATATTAAAAAACGAAATGATGTTTTTTTATTAAGAAAATAAGACATCTTATAATTGTTAGACCTCTTTCAGGCATTTCTGCCTTTTTTCCAATTACGTAAGGATTTAGATTTAGTTGTAATATATTTTGACATATCGGACATTGATATAGTCCAAAATGCGTATAGGTATTTTAAGTAAATCTCACTAATTAGACCGTGTGAGGCCAATTACTCATGGACAATCTTATATATGGTAGGTCGTGACAGTGACAGGTAGTAATGTCATGATAACATTGTTATTGTTTGACAGTTTGTATTAGTATTTAATTAAAATGGGTTACACAGAAGTAGAAAATTGAAATATTATTAGGAATTAAAATAAACTATGGAGAATATCTTAACTACTCTATCTTAATTCCTATAATATTTAAATTTTCTACTTCTGTGTAACCCATTTTAAATAAATAATAATACAAACTGTCAAACAATAACAATGTTGTCATAATATTACCTGTCACTGTCACGGCCTACCATATAACATTGTCCATGAGTAAATAAGCCCCTCACGGACTAATTAGTGCGATTTAGTTAAAATACTTATACCCATTTTGGACTATATCAATGTTCGATATGTCAAAATATATTGCAAATAAATCTAAATCCTTACGTAATTGGAAAAAAGGCAGAAATGCCCGAAAAACGTCCAACAATTACAAAATATTTTATTTTCTTAATAAAAAACGTTCTTTTCGTTTTTTAATATTATCTCGCTTATTGTTAGAGATGGACCCAACAAACCATATATGACTGTGCTCGACAGGGAACGTTCTATCCAAATGTGTAAAAATATACAGGGTGTTCCATTTAAATTAACAAAGTTAACATCCGCGGCCATTTTGTTTGAACTTCATTTGTTTTTCTACTATCATATTCGAAAATTTCATAAAAAATCGTGCAACTTTTGTATTTCACATTTTTTTATAACTCTTAAAACAAAAAAGTTAAAGGGGGGTCAAAATATAGTGAATCACCCTGTACCTAGTTATAAGTCTGTGTAGAAATTTTATTATAAGCAGATACCTAATGTTGAAGTGATAAATTAATAGGAAGAATGCTTCTGTATCTTTAAATTAAAGCTTGTTTTTTTTTAAGATTTCTTCGGTTAAATTTCTTATTTACTATTTATTTAATTAAAAGACTGCATGATTAATGATTATTAATACATATTATTGGAAGAAAACTACGATTCAAAAACGTTGAAATAAACATAAATATATTGAAAGTGTTAATAAAAAAACAAGTTAAAGGTTTTTAAGAAGAAACTCAAAGTTTAATTTAGTTTTGTTAGTAGAAGTAGAAACATACGTAATTAATAAAAATACTGAATAAATAATAAATGTTAATGATGATTGTTAAGTACAATAGCATGTTTATATTTCGCATTGCAATACCAAAATTATGACTTTTTTAAGTTTTAGAAATTTCTCGAGAATTCGAGAATTCCCGGGAATTCCTAGTCGAGAATTCTCGAGACCCGAGAAAAAAAATAGGCCGAGAAATCAGAAACCCTAATCCATAGTTATGAAGAAGTATTTTAATTATTCAATGCCAAGTATCCAAAACAACCAATACCTCTTCTTACAGTATGCAGATTAGTACGCAAATTTGAAGACGCTGGACATGTTAGAGATCTTGTCTATATCTGGAAGGCCAACAACAGTGACGGAAAATGATAGAAGGCAAAATGTTATGTTAGCTACCACTGAAACTCCACACACTGTCTTATCATTGAAAATGCCAACATATCAATACATAAAAACATGTACCTACAATCAACCAAAACACAAAACATCTACAAATTCCCATTTTTTGCTGTGGCACTGTTCTCACATCTGTTTGTGATACCTACTTTTGTTGTTATTTTAAACTATATCCATTCCAGTCATTGGCTTTTTTCGCACCTGTCAAAGTAAAGTAGGCCAAACCCTATATCGACGCATTGCTCTTCAAAAGGGCTATTCATTTATGTTTAAAAAATTAGATAGTCCTATTTAAAAAAAATGTCGATGACGTCATAGATTTATGAAACATAGCACAAAAAAAGTTTAAGCAACGTGACAAAACGACAATTCCTATTTACTAATTGACATGTTTTAGTGTTTTTGTGAAAATGCATCACAAAATAAAATATGAATTTTTTGTTATTTCTGGGATGCACTGTATACAAACCTTACGTTTTTGTATGGAAAATAAAAGAATTTTAAGTTTTTATAAGGATTTCACCAACACATTAAATTGTGTTTTTCTCAGAGATTTTTTAATTAATTTTCACCTTTCAGCCATAGGGTTTTAGAATTTTGATATATCTTTTTTCGACGTGCAGTTTGTTACTAATAATAAGTGCCACATTTGAAAAAAAATCATGTGTATATAAAAGTTATAAAATATAGATAAAAAAATATATTTTAAAAGGAACACTGCTATTGTGTTCCTTTCTTTCATTTTAATAACTAGTACCACTATTTTTATGAATGGATCATTTCTTAATTTTTTACTCATAATTTTCGATCGCCCTGTTTATAGGATAAGGTAAATAATGTTGTTCAATAAGACACCCTTCTAGAATATTTTTATGGCACAAAGTGGAATTAATTTTTTTTATTGTATAGTAAGTAAACTTCGTGATGTACTCATTGAATTAAATATGATGGTCCAATTATTGGTAAAAATGGCCATGGCCTGTTGAAATTTTTATTTCGAAGCAGTTTTTGAGAAACTTGATTAGGTATTTTTTTTATAAACAATCTGACTGGATAAACTTAAAACCCCGATTTCACAATTTCCATCAATTTTTTATAAGTTAGCAAGCTTATGTCGAAAATTGTGCAAATAGCTTACAAGTAGACAATAGTTGGCAAATTTTTTGTCCTTGAGTATTTCAAAAGTCTCACAGACCTATAAATAGTAACAGTAATATTGATTAAAACTATGCATTTAGATTTTTTATAAAAAAATCGATAAAAAAATCATCGTAGTTCGTTCGACAACTGTAGTGTTCCAGAAAAGAAGGAAAATCTTATAATCAAATACTCCTGGAATCAGAGTAAGATGTTTTAGACAAACTTATCTATATTAAAAAATAATTATAATTGCCTTAAAATATAATTTTCAAATTCGTTTTTCTTCAAAAAAAAAAAAAAAAAAAACATGAAAAACGGGGTTGCCATGACATCTTATTCATCCTCAACGGTTTTCATTTGTTTTTCGAATTACATACATTTTCAAAAATTTGTAACAATTACAATGGAATAACTACAACCATGTCATATTTGTAGTTAATATTTAGAAAATTATCGAAGTTATTACAGTAGAACTTTGCTAATCCGACCTCGGATGGTGCGACTCCTTACTTAATCCGACCATCCCATTTATCAGTGTTTGTTTATCTACTTTACCTACACAGGCCGCCGCTAGAGTCAGATACTGACATGATTGACCAGTAAGCTATTGACTGTTGATAGCTGCGGTACATATTTGGGTTCCGATCATATTCCCTGTCCCGTAGGGGTTGGATTATCGAGGTTCTACTGTATAAAAAAATGATACTGAAGATTCTAAAGTATGATGATTTCTTGGGTTGTTATGCCATGGCCTATGTACCTGCTTCGCCGTCAGTTACAGACTTACATTGCACTTTCATAGTCTTAGTTAGAAATATTTAACGTGCTGTTGTTTTCGTACTAAATTCTGGGGGGGGGGGGGCACTCACTATTAGAATAACTAGGGGTCTTCCCTTATGTTCCAACATTCCAAATTATGGGATACGACCAGCTATAGAGGCCACTGCGGAATGTCTCAGAGGTCCATCATTGTCTGAGGTGTGGTTTCATCCGTAGCGGCTTTACACCCAACAATAAGAACCGAAATGAACATCAGGGTGAACCTAGGGGTTTGACAGCGGGTCCATTCCCACTAGACTGAGAACAAGAAGGGCAGGTCAAACATTCCTAAATGTGGAAGAGGAATGTAATTCTGTAATTGGCGGTGATCTTAGAAGGAACAATAAGAACCGAATTGACCTTCAGGGCAGGGTGTTCTGATTGCGGATCTGCACCCATAGAGCTTTGCCCGAGAACAAGGACAGTTAAAAAATTCTTATATAAGGTTATGGAAGTAGAATGTAAGTTTGTAAGTGGCAGCGACTAGGTACATAGGCCAGGGCATAATTCAAAAAACCATCTTACTTTAAATGTCAGCATGAGTCGTGAAAGCCTTAAAACCTCTACTGAAAATTCTATTTTAATGCCTTGTTTCTTTTCTGGGATATCCTGTATATATAAAAAATTGTATTCGATTTCTGAATACTAAAAATATTTTAAGGGGGTGTCGTGGTTCTTAAGAGGCTACACTGTGTTTATTATTATTATTGTTTTGTCTAGAATTCAAATACAGGCAGGACTATAGTGATGAACCCCCCTACTAGAGTACCAACGCAACAGAGTAATCAGAAGTTTGTTTTCGTAACTCAACGCCCTCAAACGCCAATCGGCACTTCACATCAGAATCAATCAAACACTTCCACGCAACAAAATACAGTTGTTAAATTGGTCTCAAACACTACCAGTCAGACACAGCAAAAGTTAGCGGCTCAGCAGAAATTAGTTGTCGTGTCGAACCCGATGTCGCAAACAAATTTTTCATCGCAAAGTTCGGGTTTGATGAGTCCAAGCAGTCAACCCCCTGCCATGCTGATTTCTAAGCCAAACTTTACCATTCAACAACAGCAGCAGCAGCAGCAGCAACAGCAACACATGCAACCCCCGTCAGTGGACGATCTCTCACATTTAGCATAGATAAGTTTTTGGAATAAACTAAGGTAAAAAACTTATGTTTAGTTGCCCTTGTCCAAAGTTGTACTTTAAATTGTATTTTATATATCTTAAATTCTTTTTAATCGAGTTTTTTACACCAAACAGGCATCGAGGTTGTTAAAAATTACGAAAAAAATTTTTAGAGTAACTATGATATTTATTTTCTACCCTGTGAGTAACCTAATCACACCTAAATCCTAAAATCCACAGACACCTTTCAAAAATCAATGTTCAATTATCCCTGTGTTATTCTCAGAAGCTTTTGTAACTGGTAAAACAGTTGCTACTGAAATATAACCTCAAATTAGTTTAAAATTGTGTACTAGTTGGTAGATGGCTTTATCTGTGAATTAGTTGTGAAATTTAAAAGTTTAGAAACAATATTTGGTGAAAAATGGACAGTTAATTGTGTAGTCATTGTTTGGAGTGAACTGAAACATTATCTGTGAGGAAGAATTACATAAAGCTATAGAAGAGATTCTTGAGAAAAATTATCTTTGATGTAAGTTTCAGCGGTAAGTTATAGATAATAATAGTAGAAAGCGGAAAATATATTCTTTGGTTCTATAGTAATAGCAATTTAATTTTTTGCATAAAAATTACTTAATTGCAGCACATTATTTATTTACAAGTTTCATGACAACGTGATACCTACTGATTATATTTTTTGGAAGTTTTTGTTGTACTTTTGGTAACTCATTAACAGTTCCTTTGCATTTTATTTTGATTTGATTGATTTCTGTTCTCAGTTTCTCATACAGTGTGAGCCATTCATAAAAAACTTATTAATAGACCGAACTGAGTTTTTTTTTTTTTGGAAAATAGAGTTAAAAAACTGTTATGCCACATTACTTATATTTGATTTCACTTTCAGTTATCTAAGCCTACTTTCTTTTATTTTCTAATTTGATAGAAATTGGTTAATTTTTCTTATTTCAAATCTGACAAAACCACGGGATTTTTCACCGTCACATTATGATTTGAACCAAATTTCCAGAAAAAGTATTCATTGCTTTTATAAAATTAATATAAAAGGTTTTTATCATGTTCGTTTTGCCTAAACAGGGTAAGTAGCCTATGGAATTATAAACAAATTAAATGAACAAATAAAATGTTCGATAATGCGTTCTTTAATATTTAATTTAAATGGACGCAGTAGTTATAATTATGAAAAAAAAAATATATACGAACAGTAACATAACACACAAAAATTTAGTCATAATTTTAAATTTTTGACATTTCTATTAAGCCACCATTTTCGAATGTGTCTCGCAATACTTAAGAGTGTTGAGGAGTAATTTATCTGTAAGCCTTTGTTATTCTTCTTAGTTCCTCTTTATTGGTTGGACATATTTTGTACGCTTGATTCAAGTGTTCCCCACAGAAGAAAGTCTAAGGGAGTGAGATCTGGTGTCCTCGTTGGCCATTGAGTTAGGGGAATGTTTCATTTGATCCAACGGTGTGAAAAATTTTCATTTACCTGTTTATTCAGAATGGTAGTATTATGAATGAAACATACACTAACTGAATATGTGGTTTGAATATTTCTTCAGTAGGAAGATTGCCTACTACATTTGCAGTGACTATTTAAAACATTTAGAAAGAAGTTGACTTTAAAGAAGGAATCAATTATTTTTTCATTAAGTATTCCACACAGTACATACATTTTTTGAGAATGCTGCTTTTTATTATTAGTTACCCACTCAGGTTTTTTCGCAGACCAATATCGCGAATTTTGCATTCTGATGAAACCAGATTTGTAATAGGCGATGTCTCATATCACTCTAATTGAATCAAAAGTGTACTAAGATGTCCAATCTACAGAGAAGAATTAAGAGAGTAACAGGTTTACAGGTAAATTATTCAACATTTACGAAGTGTTTCAATTTGAAGTGACAAAATTATCAATTTTTTCAAACTATGTGATTGGTAAGGCATGCGGCGGATGCGTTTCCATGGGTGTATCATTTTAGAGGGTTCCAAAAATTGTTAAATGTAAAATGACAGATATGGCGATTTGGTCAAAATTAAATTATTCTTACAAATTTATGCTCGTCTAAATGCCTAACATGTAGGTAAGTACTGTTATTTTAAGTTTGTGATGATGCCTTTGACTGCTAGAGGCCGGTTAATAACAGTTTGTGAAAATAAGTCGGGTCTTTTAAATTACTAGTAATAGCAAAATCTCAACCAGTTCACATATTTAAAATTGGGTATTGTTGCTATTCCCACATAAATTTCAAAATTAATTATTACACGTGCTTTCAAGGTTTATTTCTTCATTTTTATTGTCCTAATCCATCACATTGTATAAAAATTATTTTGGACTTTATCATCAAAGCAAGAGAATATTCCCTGGAGTGCAATAGCTGCAGATTTGAAGAACTTTCGTTATAAAAACTGTGTTATTGACCCCACAATATAATATATAGCTACTACAATTAATTAAGTCATTCATTTACTGATACAAATACATCTCTGATTTTAGTACTTTATTTTTACTTTAGAAGAATTTTTTATAACGATTAACTATTATATACATTCTGGCTGTTTCCTTATTTGATAAAGTTTGTATTTTGTTGTATCACACACAATAAAAATCATATATACAAATATTACATTTCTCTTAGATCTAATATATGGCATTTTTAAATACAAAATTGAATAAATATCTACATTATGTATTTACAATTTGTTGGCAGTGACTTTATAATACATTATGGTATAATACTTAAGCTGTCACTAGATTTTTTCAGGTTTTGGTTTATTTTGTATTTGTCGAAGGACAATGGCAGTTATTTTTAAGTTGGACATGAATTTAATGAAACCTTATATAGTTCTCTCATGTTGGACCAGTCAATTAACGTATTTTCGATTTTTAGTCTTCGTAAGCATCCGTTAAAATTCCTTCTCGATTTGCGAGTTTCTGCTGGTGCGTCTCCTGAAATTCAACCATGTTACGGTTATTTTATGTTGCGTCTAATATTTTATCTTACCTGGAAATCCTCCAATATATATAGGTGCGCTAATTTCATCCAGTAAAGAATTTGTGATTGATTGTGCCCACGTTTGTCTAATACCGTCAACAAAAACTGTTAATTCGGAGCTTGAATACATCGCTGTTACATTGTGCCACATGTTGTTGCACAATGCAAATTTGGAAAATAGATTATTTTTGGCATGTGATATAACTCCATTTCCCATATCAACTGTCATAACAACCGCACCATTTTGTAACTCCACTGAAAGACCGGGGCCATTTCCGAAGTTAGATACACTTAAAAATATTCCATTTTGTTCTGTGGTTTTAAACTCAAAAAATAGTTCCACAATTTTGTTTATTTTTAAATTTTCTTCTGTAAATAAGACAAATTGAATTTATATAATTTTTATGTAAAAGCAAGTTTTCACTTACTGAATATTGCAAAGCTGCTACCACTAAAGTATGCTCCCTCTTCGACGTTGGAGAAACACTGACCAGTATTGCTGTGTTGTACATCTTTAGTTTTAACGAATTGATGTTCATTATTAATAATTAAAGACCTTAAGCACCCTTTAAATGGATCAAGTTCCCCCTAAAAATAGGATTCCTTTATATGCAGGTTAATCTATTCTGATTTTGTCTTACCAGTCCAGTTACCTGTAAATAATCAGAATTCGAGGGAACACCTCCTATATATATTTCATTTCTGACTGCGGTTTTCGGAATTTTAACAATTTTTTTCTGCTGTCCATTTACAGCTATTGCTAATTTTCGTTTCTTCTTGGACAGCTCAACACTATGCCATTGCCCATTATTCAATTTGCCATTCAAAATAACTGGAGATTTATTTATTTTCCCTTTAATATTCAAGCTGAGCTCTCCGTCTGTCAATTTCAGTAGGTTATAATGCTGTTGCTTTTGATTACCCTGTAAGATGTTACTTTAATTTAATGTGGCAATAAAATACGAAAATTTTACTTACAATAGATATAAATAGTAACCCATGCGGGTAATAAGTCCTAAACTGAAAACTGACTGAATAATCGGTTTTCCAGAAATTTGATTTTATATAAGTGTAACTATTTGATGTATCACCTAATTTAATTGCTTCAGAAATAGTTTCATAATTTGATGACCTGGCACAGCTTTCAGTATTTAGCATCGTGTTCGTAAAATATGTAGAGAGACTCTTCACGGCTTTTTTAGTACTCCTGACCTTGATTGATGGCAGTTCTCTACCAATTTCTACATTAGAAAATTCAACTACACCATTTGGAGTAAATAATAATTCTCTAGAAAAAATATGTAAAATAACTGAAATCGTTTAAAAAAATTATTTTGGGATACCCACTTGTTATTTATCAAAATGTTGCTTAGTCCACCACTGAATCCTTTATATTTATCACCTAGTGTAATAATAAGATCTACAATATTTACTTCAGTTGGGACCTGGATAACTTTTTCATTACTGTTCACTACTAAAATTCCTTCTTTGTACGATATGTTCACAGTGTTGTATTCATTTGCATCTAAACTTATGTTGTGGTCATTTTCCATTCCGACAATCTTTAGTCTGTAGTTATCCAAAGAGATGTTATAATGTGCAAGGTTCATAATTATACCATTTGCAGAAGTGGGTTGTAAAATGAAACTGATATTTTGAACTTGTTCTTCCATTAATTTGACTTTCATATATCCATTTTTATTTACTTGAACTTGGTAAAATTCAAGAACCTAAGGTTATATCAATATATTATACAGATGTGGGAATCCCCTATTAAGTCGCAATGCTTCTTTTTAAACAACTTTTTGGGAAAATATTAATTATTTAGTCCTATTATTTACCTGTTTATTTGTTTTTATCGTTCCATATGACAATATTTCATTCGTTAGTGGTGTAGTCACCTTTAAGAAACCCAAGAAAGAAGTTGTATTAATGGGTAGGCATGTTTTATTGTAAACTGGGGGAGTACCACCGAGATAATGAGAGGCCTGTTTTATTTTGAACACATATTTTTTATTAAGGGCATTCGTGGTATCTTTTATGTTTTCAAGGGTTTCATTTTTCGTTAGAAGGATGTAGTATTGAACTCCAGATTTGTCATATTCCATATTGATGTCAACATGATGCTTTCTGCCATTATTAGATTTATTGTCCGAAGCTAAAGTGCTGCTTAAACCATTAGAATGTTTTACAATAAGATTTAAATAGCCGTTCTTCAAATATAATATTATGTATGCACAGTTATCCTTAAAAATTAAGAAAATAGTATTTGTTAATTAAAACAACATAGATGCTAATTGCATTACTTTTTTTGTGGAAAAGTAGGTATTACGGTTTTGTATTTATATATACTGGGTAGCTATTTTCTATCTCCTAAGAGTATCATTTATATTTTTAGAGATATGGTATAGCAAAGTTGCACATAATTTTGTGCTTTTTTTTGTTTATTATCGACTCAATCATAATCAGCTAGATCACGTTGGCTTTGTTTACTAGTCTGTTGAATCAGCAAAATTTCAATGAAATATTTAGTAATTGTTAATTACTATGACGGACTTCACTGTTGCTTTATGGAAACACAAATCTCAGGTAGTAAATCTCAATATTTTTACAGGAATCATCCAAATTTAAAGAGTATTTATCTAATTCTGTTTATAAGAAACGTAAATATTTTTATTCACTATTATAAAACATTAAAATGTACATTTAAATCCCAGTCCATAGAAAGTAATTACTTATAGATTTAAAAACAATATGTAAATATAAAAATACACTTTAACAAATTTGACATTTGTGATAATTTCAAAATAATAGTAGTATAATGATATAAACAATTAAGGCAATTTGCCAACAATCATGTTGTACATATGCAAACTCACTGCAACAGGGTAACGCAACTGACTAGGGATATCCTGGGTACTATGAATTAGTATATGATGACTCAACTAAGTGTTTCTACTTATGCTGTGGTGGCAAGAAACAAAAATTTTCAATTTAAAAAAATAAAAATCATATATTGTAAAAACAAGAAACTATTATGCTAGTTATAGTCTTTCCGATATCAATTGATGAAGCAAGAGGATGACAGTATGTACCAGGTTTAGTTGCTGACGCAGCAACTCGGCATTGAAATATTTGATAAACTTGTTCCCATATTTATTTAGCCATACCCATATACAGGTCTGGTCGATCTAAATGTGGATATGGTATATGCCCAGTTGAAGAATGCGAGCGTTTGCAAATGAAAAACAAATACAGTTGCATTGGGCTACTGGACAATAAATCTCAGCTATTGACAAGTAGTCGACAAATTGCCCAGCAGTGCAGTGCAGCAATGCGGAATTTGGTGTGATTCAGGTAATTTTAATTTATTATAGGCACCTTCTATTAATCATTCATATTACAATTGCTATAGGGAGAAATAAGAGGGATATTTTGTTTACTAATATTATTACAACATGGCACTTTGGAGACCTTTTAAAACAAAATTTACCATCAATAAAATAAAATTGTTTGAGGACATAAATAATTAAAATATGTTGCTGACCAAATGAACATATAATATAAATTTCCTACACATTATATACAAATTATTATAATTTTTTACCTTTATCAGAAATCTTTTTTTGGGACGCCTATGAAACTCATTAAATTTTATTGCCAGGCGTTTTTTTTACATGTTGAAACTGACTTCAGAAAGACTATACCTCAGTGGCTATAATCAGTTTTTTTACTGTTGTTTTATTTTTCAAATGTATTTAAAAAATTGTTTGTTTTACCATTTTATAGGCAATAAAAAAAGAGTAGAGGTATAATTGTTTACATTTGTAGAGGTATAAATTATGCACAACTCTACTATTTCAACCAATTCTATAAAATTTCTAAAAAGAAAAAGTTATCCAAGTAAGGGGATAGAAATAAGTGGCTACCCTATATATGGACAAATATTCACCCCTTTAGATATTGTAGTGGTTTCATCAAATGCAGCCAAATAAATCAAACTGTTTTCATCAAATGTGCTGAAATCAAACCCTAAAGTAAGTTTCGTGGGATTTAAGTTACTATTTTTTCCATATGTAACGTATCCTTTTCCATTAAAGAATGTATTAACGTTATCTGGTTGCTTTTCAGTTTCATCCCTAACAAAAAGTAATATGGAAGATATAATCAAAATCACATACTAATCATGTATTAAATAATTTACCTAGTTTCACCTGTACAATTTCCTTCTGTTTGAGAAAATTTCCATAAACCAAACTTTTTTTGGTTTAGTATAACATTGTACACATACGATTTGCCGTTAATTTTGTTATTTGTACTACCAATTTCAATTTGGTCATAAGGATGTATAATGTAGTACGGAGAATCAGTAAGCTCAGTTTTTTCTATAGTGTCTACTTGCATTTTGATTAATGAACCTAATCTAAAAATTCATATCAGAATTATGTTGGTACAGTTATCGACTTCAACTCACTTTTCAATGTTAACAGTTTTTTCCTTGTCTTTTTCGGTACTGGAGATCACTATATTTTTGTCGTTAAATTTAAGTATAATGTTGTTATTTTCAACTGTTAAATTGAACTCTCCATCAGCATTTGCTAACTTAAATATTTGACATGTTTTGCACTTAAATGTGATGGATAAACTTTTAAACACTTCCATTTGAGGTAATTGATAGGACATATGACAATTTGATATATTCATTGCTACACTTATCTAAAAACATTAATATGTAAATTCTATGTGCCTTTAAACTTAATAACTGAATATTTACTATATCAGCTGCTTGTTTGGCGTAATTAATTTTATTAGTTAACTCTTCAATCCTGGCTTGAATGGCTTGTATATTTCTGTTTTTATTTTCTGTATTGAATTTTTTGATAGTGTCAAAATATGTGGAACTTATGTTGAGATTCTTAAGATGTTCTCTGGTGTTATTTAATTTTGCTTTCAACTTGTCAATCTCTAGAAAAAATATATTTTTAGAAATAATCTGTGATATGTGATGTTAAATGTTTTGAAATTTATAATTTAATACTAACCTTCTTTAGAAATTAGGTTTAGATACATATTGTATTTATTGAAAAAGCTATCTTGACTTGCAGTAAGTATATCTTGAACTTTTTTACGAATTTGCTCCATATCTTCGGAAATAACTTTGCTGTTCTTTATGGCATCTTCTAATTTAGAAACTACATCTGCCTGGGATGTTATATCTGTTTCCATTTTGTGCAATATTTGGTTCAAGTCATTGTTGGCTTTACCACTACTAAGTATGCTGTATTTAAATTTATCTAACTTGTTTTTTACCTCTGTGAGATCTAAAATACATATCAAATTACTTTGTAAAGCAACAGAAAAATCAGTTTTGGCCTTACTCTTTGAAATGTTTTTTAGATTATTAATTCTCTGTTTTATTTTCTCTGAGTATGTCAGTGCTAAGTTTGCTTTGTCTAGTACATTTTCTGAGTTTGCAGGATATATGAGTTTGGTAGCGTCTTCTAATAATTTCCTGGATAATTCAATATCTCTTTTTGCCTCTTCTATTCCATGTAGTAGTGTTTCGTATGATCCACTAGCATTAATTTTTTTCCATTCGTCTTTAGTGAAATTGAACAAACTGGAAAGCGTATTACAAATTTAAAAACATCACATATATTACTAGAAATAAATCATCACTTGTAAGTAGTAAGTAAGAAATTTAATATGGTACTGTGTTAAAGTTGTGCTGTTTCAATTTTATTTGTTACCTTTGGTAAGAATTGATCTTTTTTTCCAGTTCTCGAACATGATCTATAGCTTTAAAAAATAGTTCGTTGGTTTTAGGCGAATTTTCCATTTGTCGTCGAACACGATTTTCAAGTTGTTTAAATTCCATAAAATTGGTAATATTTTTTAAGTCATTATATACAACTTCTAATTGTAGAATTAAATCATCTGTAGCATTTATTTTAGACATTATTTCCCTTACACTATCTTCAACTCCTCGACTATTATTTTTGAGTGTTTCCAATTTCTCCTTGAATTTTACAATTCTGTCTGCATTATCGAGGTTCTTTTTTTCAGCTTTATTAACAAGTTTTTCAACATCTGCGGTAATATCTGAAAGATCATCTAGTTTATTATTTAAGTCTTCGAGTAGCTGTTTTGGCATATTTGACGGGGGTTTATAAATATCGTTTATTTTTTGTGTTACATTTTTGCAATAGTTAACTGCCTCTTGATCTTCTTGATTGTTAAACTTTTTTGAAATCGCATTAATTTGTTTCAAAATTTCTTTAGCCTTTTTTAGCGAGTTCTTAACGTTAGTTGATTTTGGTCCAGAATTATCCAAGGTTTCAATAATATTAATTAATTTTTTATTTAATTTTTGAATTTCGTCTACTAATGAATTGGATGAATTTTGTAGTTTATCCGTATTAATAATGTTTGTTTTGGCTTCATCATTTTTTTGTTTCAGTCTTTCTTGCATAGCATTTATTTTTTCTTTCAGCTGGTCCAATTTCGAGTTTTGTAATAGATTATCTGTCTGTTCTTTCTTTCTCTTAAATTTCTCTGATAACATGTTGTGTTTGTCTATGGTGTTGGTCAATAACTTCCACGGTGGTTTTACATCACTTTTGAATAAGTTGAAAGTATCATCAACAGCTAAAGTAAGATTATCAATTTCGGAAAAAAGTAATTTCACACATTCATCACATGCTGAAATTATGGAAAATAGAAATAATATAAAATTATTAATTACCCAGTGACTTACGAGAACAAACTCCATTTTTAATATATTCTCTTTCATTAACACATTCATTGCATTTTTCACCTTTAAATCCTTCTTTACATTGACATATTCCAAATTCATTGCAACTTTCTCCCTTCCCGTCAACTACTCCAAATGGATTGCAACCACAAGGTTCACATATTAAAGATTTGGGAGAAACGTCTTTGTCAAAATAGCCATCATCACATTGATCACAAAATTGTCCCATGTAACCTTAAATAGAAATTATTTGGGATACTTACTCTAATATATGAATTGAAGTTACCTTTCTTGCAGTTACATTTAAAACTCTTCTCTATTGGTGAACAACTTTCTGCATTATTTTGACTAGCAGTAGGGCATAGACAGGGTGAGCAGTTTCCACTGACATCTTTATAATAACCTGTGTCACATAATTCACAGTGGTTGCCAGATGTACTGTGAGTACAGTTCTTCAATAACAGAAAAAGCATACAGATGGAAATGGTATCAAGAATGCATTTACTTGTATATGTGAAAGTATGTACCATAATATTTAGCGACACCGGGTTCTATGATTAGGTAAATTTTAATTTGGAGTCATGGAGTAACTGTCAAAGTCTGCTTGGCCTGTTTAATTAATTTGTGTTTGATACATGATTTAGTTGCGTTTTAAAGTACGCTTTGATATAATGAAAGTTCTATGAAGAATTTCTAATAAAGATTTTTGCAAGAGTATTAAAGCAAGATGGTATTTTACATTATATCCCAAAATTTTTAAAACGGCTTAGGCGAAACAGGCTCTGTTTTTCCATAAAGAAATCGTGGATGACCTAAAATAATATTGGTGCAACAAGAAGAAAAAATATTAACTCGCATAGCAGAAAGTCCACTAATAAGTATGTGCCGATTGTTTTCGCCTGTAATGTCAAATCTTGAATTCATAAAATTCTAAGAAAAGAAAACCTGTTTCTTTTTCATTTCATCCCTGTATAACAGTTATTACTAATTAATCCACCAGCTAGAGTACAGTTTTGACAATTAATTATTCAAGGAAATATTGTTTAACTGAAAAAATTTTACTTAGTTCAATATTATGGTACATTCATATACTTGCAAATAAATGCATTTTAGAATCGTTATTATTTTCTGTTTATTGGTGAATTCAATGACAACAGTTTGTCTTGAGATACTTACTTTGCAAAAGCCAGTATTTGGATCACAGCTCTGTGACCTACTATTGCACTCACACAGTTTGGCTTTTCCAACGACTATGTCAATCCACTTATCCTTGGTATCATTTGAAAAATATCTGAAATATCCCACATTAGGATCTTGACAAGACAAGCCCGTGTATTCCTTAGGACACTCACATCTTTCTATGGAATGAGCAGGCGGATATGTAGGTAGATTTGGTTTTGCTTTATCCAACAGGACTTCATTTATTCTAAAATATTTTAATGAATAGTTACTGAGATTAAATTGAATACAATTTACCTGTTATTGGCTTCGACTAGAAAGGAAGTGACGTTTTGTAAAACAACCATAAAGCAAGATCTGGTTAACTTAGATTGGCAACTGTTTGGAAATTGTGGATTTCTAAACTCTATATTCCAATTGCTTTCAACTAATTGAAGCTCATTACTTGATGAACTTGATTGCAAACCAACTCCATTGCCTTCTAATTTTACAGTGAAATAGCCCTGCCCCTGATCTACAGTTAAATAACCCCCGTAAGAGGTTGTCAAGTCGCCCATGAATTTATTAGGTAGTTTCCAATAATCGTTATTAATAGCCTACAATAACTAATACAATAAGTATTCTATCTTCAATAGATACTTTTGTTAAAAATAAAACCTTGACATTTGTAAGCCCTTATCGAAACTAACAATATTTGTTTCTTACCTGTCTTTTACTTTTGTTGTTTATTTTATTTACTCGTATTTTATCCCAGTTCAACTGAGCATCTACACATCTTTTACTTCTACCAAAACAGAAACATTGTGTACAACCTTTGAGGTTTTCTTTAGTTAAGCTAAAAGTTTTAAGCTTGCAGGCGTCACATTTGGTCCCTTGAACATTTTCCTGCAAACCAACATTTCAGTTAACTATAATATGATTAATTAAAAAGTTGTTTAAAAATATTACTTTGCACCTGCAAGTTCCATTGTCGTTGCATTTGCAGTTACTATCTTGACAGTCTTCTTTGTTGGTGCCCAGCAGGTTGCAGTTACATTTTTTGCAGTTTGGGTATCCGTAATAACCAAAACTGCATTTCTCGCATTTTTCACCTTCATACCCAGTTTTACAATCGCATTTTCCATTAACTGTGTTGCAGTGTGAACTTAAACTTCCATTTTGCGAACATTGGCACAACTAATAAAAAACAATAAGATTTATTCATAGGCCATTTAGTACTGTGGCGGGTCTGTAGTGTTTTTGTAATACACCTTTTCCAGATGTATTTCAGAAACGGTCAATTGTATTTCAGAAAGCATCATTTGAACTTCAGCCTAGTAAATTTTATGGTTCTCTAGTTTTATTTGGGCGATACTTATATTATTATTATATTATACGATAATCTGTACAATTTTTTTTAACTGTGGAAAAAAAAACAAATTAGTTAGCATCACCCGAGTAACATTGGGAAACTAGAAATTCTATTTATATCAAAAAAATTCAAAAACTATGTTAAAATTTTTTTTACAAAATCTAAAAAGTTGAACTGGTATTTCACATGACATTGACTGAGAATTAGTTGGATTTTTTTCTTAAAAAAAACCATAATTCCTTGCAGTTGACCATGACGGATTTTAAAGCTTATAATAACACAAAAACAGAAAATTGTGTCCAAAGACTTAAATGACTTCATCGGAACCTCATGCAAATTTACAACAAGTCACTTCAAATTTTATTCATGATAATGACGGCATCAAAAACTTTAAAAAAAATAATGTAAATATTAAATTTCTTTGTAATATTGTATAATTTCACTTTCTGAAATACTTTTGTCTAATTCTGAAATATATTTGCTTTCTGAAATGCGTTTGGAAAAATGTAATAATAATTCTTATAAGATCTTATTTCTGTACTTGGCAATTGCAATATTAAATTTGAACACACTGTAGATATCTCGAAAGTGTAGCATTTACAAATATCTATATGTTTAAATCCAAATGCCTTTTTGGAAAATTACAAAGCAACAATTTTTAACAACTGATGAGATAGCTTACCTTACAGCCGGTACCAGGTACGTACCCCCAAGCGCCTTGTGCACACTGTCGGCAATTGTCTCCTGCTGTTAATGAAGGGCAAACACACTTTCCGTTTTGGGGATCACATATATGACCGGGTTTGTCACATGGGTCGCATTCTGTAAATTCAGCAAGATGTTTTCACAAATACATCCCATGCAGTATAATTACCTTTATTTATTAAAAAAAATAAGTTTATCATAGGATAAATAACTTAACTCAATTTACCTTTACATCCTTTTTCTATTGTTCCATAATGATGAGGCTTGCAAGCGTTACAAGTGGCACCTGTAACTCCTTCTTTACAGTGGCATCTTCCACTTGTTTTGTCACAAAAGGTATTTGGTACTGACCCGTATTTGTTACATTCACATTTGACACAGTCTTTGTTTCGGTTCTTCCAATAACCGTCCTAAAAATCAGGTTTATTTCAGCTATAGTCTTGTTTGTCTTGTGTTATTGTTTTTCATTCGATCTATTATGAATGGAGTAAATATTAACTCCCATAATATAGTTCTCACAAATTTGTATAAAGAATTTTACAAATTTTGTATAATATTAATTAACACTAAGTATTAGAATTGAGATAAAATGTCAGATATTTTTTGAAAAATGTAAATTGTATTTCATTTTAGCTGAATAAAGGAATTATAATTATATTGACAAAAATTTATTAAATAGCAGTGATTGACACATGGAAACTGGAATTTTTTGATGAAAATTTAGTATAGACTGATTTTCACAGACAATAATTTTTGATTATAGTGATAAAATATTGACGGGCCTATCTCTAATAGTAAGGAAATATGGTTAAAAGAACATTTATTTCTCCCCTTTAGTATCTACTTTAAGTTCTTACCTTGCAGGTTGCGCAAGTTTTTCCATTATAATTAGGTCTACACAGGCAGTCGCCAGTACTGTTACATGTTTGAAATTGAGATCCATCTTGGTTACAATTACATGCTGAAAAAATTTGTAATTTAATTATTAAGTTTTGTAGTAAGAAATTATCTGTTGATAATTTAATTTCTTTAAATATGTTGTAAAGTTATCCTTGCGAACTTTACAACATATTTTTAAAAATGTGAAAGGAGATAGAGAATCGACTTTATAACCTGTTTATTTGGAATAAATCCTATAATAATATGAAAAATTGTCCTGTATGGGAAACAACTTCATCATCAATCACATCAAGATTGAAACAGTTTCAACATTCCTTGATTTCTTTCATTATTATTTTGGACCAATATACATATATACAATATACGTATGTATATGTGGATTCAAATATACAGGGTGTCCCGTAATTCATGCAACAAAATTTGGTCACAGATTCTTAAGACAAATTTAGGGGACCCGTATTTTTTATTTTTGCCAAGTGACCCTCTCTTTCGGAGTTACAGCTCCCTGAAGTCCGCCCTTAAGAATAATCTTTTTTTTATATCTCAGAACCCTGTTGTACGAGAATCACTAAATTTGGTACACAGGGGTTTTATGACATGTGCAATCTGATGGTGCTACGTTTTTTGGCGGGGAACCCCCTTAAGACAATTTCTCGTGGGCCCCCTTCTTTTTGGAGCCAAAAAAATTTGGTCGCATATTTCAATTTCTTAAAAATGATCAGTCCACTAAAAAGCCATTAAATTTAGAAACTTTTTGTCACTTTATACTTTCTTCGTAAAATGCAATTTTTTCGAAAAAAATGTCAAAATGTGATCCAATGCATATCGTGATTTGCCATTTTCCTCAAAAACATTGCATTTTTCGAAACAAGTGACAAAAAAATTTCTAAATTCAATGGCTTTCTAGCTAACTAATAATTTAAAAAAAAGTCAAATTTGCAACCAAATTTTTCTGGTTCCAAAGACAAGGGGCCCCACGAAGAAGTGTCTTAAGGGGGTTTCTCGCCAAAAAGCGTAGCACTGTGAGATTCCACATGTCATAAAACCCCTGTGTACCAAATTTAGTGGTTCTCGTACAACATGGTTTTGAGATATAAAAAAGACTTCTTAGGGGTAGATTTTAGGGGGCTGTAACTCCGAAAGAGGGGGCCAGTTGGCAAAAAGAAAAAATACGGGTCCCCTAAATTTGTCTAAAGAATCTATGACCGAATTTTGTTGCATGAATTTCGGGATACCCTGTAACTTTTTTTGTATATAATAGGCTTCTAGTTATACTTCTTGAACCGATTATGATAATACGTCGTCTTTAAAATTTTGAACAGTCTTTTGAGCATTCTCTTTTTACAAATTAATAAAGTCTGTATAAAAAATATTATACATCATAAATTGATATTTGAGGTAATGGAGTTTTAAAGGATGCTAACTGGAACCAGAATTTAATAAGAAAATATCTAAAATTATTTTCCGAAAAATTGCATCTAAAAATTCGCAGAAGGTCTGGATTACACACTGGATCATCGTAATTGATTTAAGTATATCTAGAAAGACACAAATTATAAAAAAATAGATGGGTGTCTTGGTCCAAATGGAATGCCAAATAGGAATTTTTGTACAAACATTTTTTTCAACCATTTCCGGGATAGGGTGTTCTAATATTTTATGTATATGAAAGTACCACAGATTCTTGGGGGTTTCTCTTTTTCCCTCGTTCATTTTTGATTTTACATGAGGTTATTTCTGCTGCTATGACTAACCATCGACCGACACCAGGGAGAATGAGCAACATCAACTTCGAAATTTTAACTACTCTACTTGCTTAAAATTGCTTAGATGAGAGACCAACTGTTTCACATTCTTTCCGAGGGACGGTATCTTTTTCTATACTAATCTTGACCAAATTTCTTATATGATTCACAACTTATCCAAAAAAATTTGGGGATAGATGCGGCATGAGAAATGGAGTCGATATCTTAAAAAAATTTTTGTAAAATCCATATGGTTTCAGAGAAAAAAATTACTGAAGTTGTAGTACATTCAACCATTACATAGCTGGACAACTGTAGTCTCTAGCGTCATTCGCAATAAACGTGGAGAGCCACGTGGCCTCAGCAACTCCGAATACTGTAATCCGATTTTACAATCGTCGTTGCATTAGTGTTTACCTGTTATCTGGTGTTTACGATAGTTTTTTTTAGTAGTTAGTGTCAAAAATGGCTTGCATGTTGATGATATCGTTTTAATTCATGGTGAAGCAAGAGAACATAATGTATTATGGTGAAGCATTTGTGTTATGGTGAAGTAAGACAACATTTGTGTTAGTTCGTAGAAACTGAGTAAGACGGACCCAAATGTGTTTACACGTCCATGGATAAAATTTGGAACAGTTGTTGTAACATTAGGTAGGTCCTTATGTAAAATTATTTTATTATTTAAAACCACAAATCAATTTTATTAATTAATAATAACAATAACGGCGAAAGCAGTTGAATTTTGCTTGAATTTGATATAAAATAGGTGCTATAAAATTCTATTTATTTCTTTTCTTGCGAAAGTTTTTGTCTGTTTTATTACACTTTGCCGTCATGTCGGTCGCATGTGCGAGGTCAGGTTTTACAGTGGACCAGTTTCGAGTGCCGTGCAGAAGTGTATTTTTAAATAATTTTCTACCCTTTTTGATTTTTTCTTTACAAATTGTATTTGTAAGAGTCTCCTGTACATTTAAAATTTTTGGTTTTGGATAAGTTCTGAATCGCCCTGTCTAGAATATGTCTATGAGTAGATACACCGACATACAATCGTCCATAAGGTAGACGAGCATCGCGAGCCTTCTTTCGAAGGTCACTCAATCAAGCACTAACCGCAACAACAACGTTGTTTGACTTTTCATACTGGACCGGCTGACATTAGCGATCGTCACTAGTGACTACTTTGGGCACATTATTTATACACTTTTTTAATGAACCGAATTTGGCGCAGTATAATTTCTCGTCGAATTAATTCAATTTAACGCTCGTCTAATAAGAATAGTCACAGAAATTCAAATTTGTTAGGCACTATTTACACAATAGGAGATATCTGATGCCTGTGCAATATTTTTTTTTACTGAATTATTTGTTTCTACTGAACATTGTAGTAATTTCCAATAATTTTCATGAAACAACATCCAGTTAGAGGATTGTAAACTAGGTACACACAAAGTATTTTATTTTTATTATCAAACAGATCAAATTTTGGATGATAATTAGATTAGATTTGTACTGAAATTCCGATTAATTACTTGAAAATTGTCAGAAATACAAGAAAATGACATGAACTTGTAAGGTTAGGTACTTGCAAAAAAATATGAGTATATTTGCTTGGGGGAGGGACTATTTTTTTCGTTTCTGTAAATGCAATTACGGTTACTGTGCTAACAAACGATTTTTGTACACAGATACTAGCAATTTTCATTTAAACTGGATAGATATAACTTTAGTCAAATCGTTTTGTTTTGTCCCAAGAATCTGTTATAGTTTCATAGCATATGGAATGTTGGGACATCACATATTCATTCTCAAATTAGAAAATTTAAATATAAACTTACCTATGCATCCCTCTTTAGTTATCCCGTAGTATAGCGACTTGCAACTGTCACAAGCGGCACCTGTAACTCCTTCTTTGCAGTGGCACCTTCCAGTTGTTTTGTCACAAAAGCTATTTGGTATTGACCCGTATTTGTTACAATTACAGTAGACACAGTCTTTGTTTCGATTTTTCCAGTAGCCGTCCTGAAAATTGATTAATGTAATTCTAAGTACATCTTTTCCAGACGTATTTCAGAAAGCATAATTTGAATTTTAGATTGATTAATCATATCTATTTAAGAATAACCCATCAGTTTTTATTCAGAAAATCTAAACTGCGTTTCAGTTGTCATTTATATTTGGGGCTATGTAATGTTATTTTAGAAAAAATTAAATGTATTTAAAAGATACCACACAAATACTTCATAAAAAACATAACCCATAGGTATTAGGATTTAAAAATCATACCAACGAATTTAAAATTAATCTTATTGTTCCATTATGGGCTCACATGATACAGTTATCAACTGTAGGACATTAATAATAATAATTAACTGTCCGATATGTGTAGATTCCATGTTTTTAAATACTGCTGAACATTTTTCTGAAATTTTGAAATGACAAATTCTGAACTTTAACATTTTCTGAAGTACAATTGACATTTTGTACATGCTCTGATCCGAATTCTATTTATTTCTAGGTTTTAGTCCTTACTTTGCATCTGTCGCAAATTTTTCCGATGTAATTGGGTTTGCAAAGGCAAGTGCCAGTATTGTCGCATGTTTGAGATTTGGATCCAGCTTCGTTGCAGTTGCAAGCTGAAACAAATAATCAGTTGGTTTTATTATGAAGGAAAAAAAATAGAAAAGAAAAAAAAATAAATGCCTTAAAAAGGAATTTGTATAGAATTCATGTTTCATTGTTGTGATATTTTTTGGGGGCTAATTTGTGTAAAGCACAGAAGGAAATAAATGAAAAACTCGTAAATAAGGACCGTTTCTTAAAAGTTTTACAATTAATCACATTACTTAATTTATCTACGAAAAAAATTGTGTAAAATTGCCAAGTAGATTGTATTTTGATATAAAGATTTAGTGAACTGTATGACGTGAGGTTGCTTGACTGATATTTTTTAGTTTAACTGGACTATTATTCCGATTTGCACAAGGTGTTATAAAAAACGAAATCAAGACATTACTATAAGTTCGTTAATGAAAATAGTGGTACTTACACTATTTTTCATTTCCGCATCCCTTTTTTAAGATACAGGGTTTAGTAATGAAAAAAATATATATAATTTTGACTAATATAACATCATTGTATTTTAAGTCGTTCAAAGTAAAATTTGCACAGACTCTAATCTTATGCCGATATATTTCTTGCGTAATGTTGATGAGACAAATCGAATCGTGAACGAAGGAAACGGGAATGCTTTACCTACTGATCTCCCCTATGTTTTTTGGTGTACGTCTATGGTAGATACATACATATACAATGCTTTTTTATATCGATCAATTTCGTAACTAATTATAAACATGTCCTTGAATCGTATCGGTTCGGATATGTTTTTTCTAAGTGTAACAGCTAAAATAGCACAAAATCCGTGGTGTCAGTTTGACAATTGTGAAAACGAATTAAATTTTTAAACATTCTTTCACTCTCAATTAAAGTGGCAGATATACCAATTGAACATTTAATTTAAATTATTTATTAATTTGTATCAATTTAAATCATTAATTTTTAACTATGTGATGAGTTTTAATTTTAATATACCTTTTTTACTGTTTCTAGTTGCTTAATTTTACCAATTCTAATTGTGAATTTGCCAAATAACATTTAATTTTTGTTAGTCCTTTAAAATTTGTATTTTACTCTCATATAACCAAAGAAGTTGATATATTTCGTAACGATACAATAACGAAAAAGAAAATCAACAATTCATTGATTTGAAATAATTTAAGTCGTATATAGGAAAAACTTGAATCGCTACTACAACCTCCTTTCCTCTGTTTGTGTATCGATTATTTTAACCAAAGTCAAAGCTACACAAAAAGTATGTCGATTTTTATTTTGACACCCTATCTTGAAAAGGAAGTGCCTAAACAAAAAATGGCACAAGGAGAACCCCGTTATTTTTGTTTAATTAATTTTATGTGGTTAATGGCTTGTCCTATTTTTTAAATTCTATATAGAGAACAACGTCCTAAAAAAAATTACATCTTTAAAATACTTCATTATGGTTATCTGATGAATTTATTTATTAAAACGTTTTTATGTTATAAACCCACAGGAAAAAAAAACTTGAAAATGTGAAAATTCGTACAATTTATAGCACAAATGGGTATAGTCGAGAATTGGGTGAAAATTCTACATTTATATTGTGATTATTGTTAAATAATTGTGAAATTGTAGATTTTCTCAAATTTTCAAACAATACTTATTGTAAGTTTTACACAATTTCTACAGGTCATATATAATTTTCTTTTTATTGCAATTTATATTTTTTTTTATATTGCAATTTACACTTTTTCTGTTACGACATTTGAATGCCATAAAATCAGAATATGCAGTCTGAAAAATAATCGAGTGTCAACATAAAAAGATATGGCTTGAATTTTTTTTTTTTGGAAAAAAAACTGCATTTTTTTTGTATTATTTTATTAAATTTAATTAGTTTTTATTTAATTTTATTTTTAATTAAATTAAAATTAATTTAATTAAAATTCCAGATTTGCCGAAAATTAATTAATACTATTTTTAAAACAAAACTTTTTTTTCTAATTTTTATGTCTCTTGCAGAACTTTGATTTAGAGCGTAATTTACGAGATATTGCAAATTTTTGCATATGAGGGATATTATTATTTTATTTTTAGTTTATTTGGATATTCTCACGGCTATGACAATGTAAGGGAAATAATTTAGTTTAGGATATTAGAACATTATGATTAATTTTATTACCCACTAGCTGAACCGACAGACGTTGTCCTGTCCAAATTTATCCCATAGAAAAAAGCAGTTTTTCCCGAATTTTCCAATTTTCCGGGCAACTTTTCCAATTTTTCTTTCCCTATAAACCTTATTCGGACTACTACGAACATTAAAAAAAAATTGCCAAATCGGTCCAGCCGTTCTCAAATGATGCGCTTACAAATGAACAATATTTAATTTTTATTTATATAGATAATCAACAGAATATCTGTCATTTCAGGAAGTGACAAAACATCCTTTCACCAATTCTCCTAAATACTTCAAGAATAATAGGTTTTAGACATCTTTATTAATTATTATTTTGGCAAGCAGTCGTCTTCTCATTTTTGTTTTCAAAGGCTGTTTAGAAAAATCTAGTAACTAGGTAATTGTTAACAAGTAAATTAATGAAATTCAAAACAGCGCCAGCGTCCCATTTCTAATTTGGCTGTTGGAACTTATGGAGGAACATTGCCTAAGAAAAATTGACGGATAGGTCATCACATATCCAAAGAAGGTACAATATCGCGTAAATTAAACTAAATCACAACTTTGAAAGAGATAGAAATTAGGAAAAGAAATGTTTTACTTAACAGTATTTCTCAACCAGAAAAAAATTTCTTTCTTTTTTCTCCGGTTCCACTTCGATTGTTTCAACCAAAATTGCTCAAAAGGTGTGTTAGAACAAAGGAGTTATTAAAAAATCGTTTTTAAAAACTTAATTATGAACCTTGTATCTCGAAAATGGAGCGCTGAAATTAAAAATTGAGTAATAGTCGTACAACGAATCTGTGGTTCAATTGTTTTTCTGATTAAATATTCTAATTCCGCGGACTTTTTACATATGTCTACATTTTGTTCAATTTTGCTATCTCAATAGTAATACAGAGAGCGGACAATTAGTGTCTTTAACCTTGAACATAGATATGTCATTCATAAACCTATTTTTTTAGATACATTATCCATGACGCAGTGGCGTGTCGGGTATGCATCGGGAATTTAAGTGATAATTCACGAAAATTCCACGGTACATATATTTTTAGGCTTTATAAAATATTTAGAAAGTCAGAAACTGTATAACTACATATTTATTAAATAAAGACCAGTTAAAAATAGCGTCGTTCTTTTAATTGGAAATTAGGAGTTAATGTAACGAACATTCTCAGGCGACGCACATGATAGAATAGTCCAATCCACGCTCCATTCATAACAGGGCTGCAGTTTGAATTCTGACCAATAGGAATTTGATAAACGCAACCGATGTCGACGGATGGACTAGAGATGAGCGCGAGTGTCATTTCATTTCTTTAGAACTAAATTAACTTAATTATTTTCTCATTGTTTTATCAGTTCACATGATTTACGGATTTCAAATAAAGGATAAAAATCTTCGCGAGGACAATACGATATATTTGTTATACATAGTAATTATATTTTGCATAGTTTACATACAATATATTTTTGAACGCGTACGCATCTTTACCCGAATTTGACCTAATCTTCGGGTTAAAGACACACATTGTCCGCCCTCTAGACTAATGAAGTAAATCACAATAAAAAGAGAATTATATATTACCCAGCACTTCCCTCTATTTTTACTACGGTTGTGTGAATTTTGATGACAATGTTTTCTGCGTGTAGCCTTGGTTTGTGGATCAAAGATATAACAAGTCTCCAGGTCCGGACGATTTGTTACAGTGTGTTCCGATAAAAATCATGAATGGGGGGTTTTCATAAGGGCCGACCGAACTGAAAGCTTCTCTTCATATGCGCATCCCTGCCACGTTACGGATATCACGCGACTCGATCGGTATGGTGCCAACTGAATTACAGATTCATGGTAAGGTTTCTCCTGGCACGCCCCCGAAACGATCTTCACTTGTTTCAGGTATGCGCCGCTTATCCTCATTAACCGGCATTAACCTTATGGGTCCGATATAATTCGATGGAATCGTGATTGCTTGTCGAATCTGATCCGTATTGCCAGTCATTCCGTCCGCGTGTTTAAAATACACTTAAAGCTAGCCATACACCGAGGGGTTTGCTGTGTTGTCATAGTCGGACTGCCTAGGCTCTCACAATCAGTGAAGTTGAGCTTCTTGAAGATCTTGGGTTCGAAGAAGTACATCCGCTTTCTTGATTGTTTTGACTTCAGCTTCTACTCATATCAGTTAAATTACCCAAAAAAATTCGATCTTTCTAGTTGCGTTTTATTTAAATAATATCAGGTACTTATACATTTAAGCAGAAAAACAGAGTTAGCCTAATTCTAACAGCGTTTCTGACTAGACTGGATTGACCGACTGAATGATTGTGACTAAATTTAATATAGAGAATATTATAAAAATGTAATACATTTCTTTTGATAGTTTTTGGTGTGAAAATATGATTTACGGGCAACGCTTCGTAACTTTCGCAACTTCGAAAAGAATCATTGCCAGCACTTTCCTGTACATTATCACTTATAAGGAAGGTCAGGGCCGGAACGTCCTCTATATCTATATAGCTCTATATAACTTCTCTGACCCGCTATCGCGGAGGGCTTGGTACGTCAAGGGCCTAGAGCCTAGAGGTTTACAATTTCCGGAAAAGTTATACGGAGTAAAAATGGGAAAATAAGGAAAATTAGGAAAAATTTAATTTTTATTACAATCTAAGATATAAAGATTTCTAGCCACATTGTTTGCTAATGTAAATATTATTATACAGGGTGTTTCTGAAAAGGGCGATAGAGGACAAATGAGCAACTTTTATTAAACAACTGATTGTCTAAATGCTTCTGTTTTCGAGAAAATTAATTACGAAAATTAACCATAAATGTAAGCCGACCCTGTGCATATTGTGCACGTG